ACACAATGATCAATGAGTTTCTGCTGCTCCTAAACCCTACCATTTCCAGGGAAAGGGAATACCCATGTACATGTGTATGTGTGTCTGTGTATGGGCATGCACATATTTACATCTCTCATCTAGATGTATGTCTAAAACTTTCTACACATTGAAAATTCTACAGTTCATATCAAAACCTCCAATTCCAAACAAACATCACTTCTCCCACATGTGAAATCTGACTCTTATAAACTTACTATTTTTGCTGACTTTAATAACACCACTGCATATACCCTGTCATGGTTGGATGGCTACTTCATCCCACTCAGGCATCTATAACCTCTACCTTAATGCCCCCATGTGGAAGCTCTCTTCCTTCTTACCATCATACCAGTAGGCCTGGAAGACAGAATAAGTCAAAGAGAAAAATTCATAAGCCTTAAATCTACTGAAATTACTTGCCAAGTTTCAGACTTGCTTGGAACTTATGATCCTTTGACCCTTTTCTTCTTTTTAATTCCCCCTTTTTTGAATGGAAATGTCTATCAGATATGCCTGTCCTAGCATTGCATTTTGGAAGCAGATGACTTGTTATCTAGTTTTACAGGTTCACAGCTTCAGAGCTGAATTTTCTTTGGAACAAAAGATACATCAAGTCTCACCCATTCCTGATTTAGATGATACTTAGATAATACTTTATTATTATCTAAGACTTAAAAGTTGATATTAGAAACCGGGTGCAGTGGCACACACCTGTAATCCCAGTGGCTCAGAAGGTTGAGGCAGGAGAACCTCGAGTTCAACGTTCAGCAAAAGCAAGGTGCTAAGCAACTCAGTGAGACATTGTCTCTAAATAAAATATAAAATAGGGCTGGAGATGGGGCTCAGTGGTCGAGTGCCCCTGAGTTCAATCCTTGGTACCCCTCCCCCCAAAAATTGATACCAGAATGCATGAAGATTTTAGGCGGGGCTGGGATTGTAGTTCAGTGGTAGAGTACTTGCCTAGCACATATGAGGCACTGGGCTTGATCCTCAGCACCACATAAAAAATAAATAAATAAAGTAAAGGTATTGTGTCCAAAAAAAGACTTTAGGGGATGTTGGAATGAAAGTAAATGCATTTTGCATAGTGATTTAGGGGACCAGAGGGCAAAGTGGGCTGAATTGTGTCCCCCTGAAAGTCCTAATCCCTAATACCATTGAATATAGCTATATTTGGAGATAAGGTTTTTAAAGAAGTAATGTGAGGTCATTAGTGTGAGTTGTAATCCAATAAGACTGTTGTCCTTATAAAAAGAGAAAATTGGGATGTAGACAAGAACATAGGGAAGACCACAAAAGACAAAAGAAGAAGATGCCCAAATACAAGTCAAGGAGAGAGGAGTCAGAAAAAACAAACTCTACTAATGCCTTCATCTCAGATATCTAGTCTTCAGAATTGTGAAAAAATGAATGTCTATTTTATTAAGCTGCCCAGTGTGGTACTTTTTATGGCAGCCCTGGTAAACTAACACACTACATCTGAATCTCAAAGGTATTCTCCAGAAGGAAACTTCAATAGTTCATGTGTGGTTAACAATGACATACAGTGGTTGTATCTGCACATTACAATTGTTAGGAAACTAAGTTTCTGTCAGGAATTACTGGGGAATCCTCACTTTATCATTCACTAGTAGCAAATTTTTAACAGTTGGTAGATTTCCATAGCCACAAAAGAAGTGAAGGGAACTTTAGAAGGCTGAGGCAAGAGGATGGCAATTTTGAAGCCAGTCTCAGCCATTTAGTGAGTACCTAAGCAACTTAGTAAGACTCTGTCTCAAAATAAAAAATAAAAAGGACTAGGAATGTTGTTCAGTGGTTAAGCACTCCTGGGTTCAATCCCTGGTACCAAAAATTAAAAAGAAAGAAAAGAAAGTTTATCACCCACTAGGTATAACAGATGTATGAATGGTTGATAGTGATGGTGACATATAAAGAAAAGTGCACAATGTCAACAAAATATTAACACATAGAATCCAACATTTAAAAAGGATTACATATCATGACCAAGTAGCATTTCTACTATGGAAGCAAAGGTGGTTCATCATTCAAAAGTCAATCAATTAAATTCACCACATTAACAAAGTAAAGGAGGAATATCATATAGTCCCATCAATAGATGCAGAGAAAGAATTTGACAAATTTCCACATATCTTCAGAAAAATTCTCATTAATATAAGGGGACTTCCTTCAATATGACAAATAGATCAATGAAATGTTAAAGGCAATCAATGAAAAATATACAACTAACATCATACTTAAAGGTCAAAGGCAATTTTTCCTCTAAAATAAAGAAAAAGGCACAGATACATCCTCACCACTTCTATTAAACACAGTACTAATGAAAGTCCCAGCTGGTATAACAAAGCATGAAAAAGAACCAGCAAAAGACATATATTGGAAAAGAATTTGTTCCCTTTGCAGATGACCAGGATTGTATGCACAGATGATTCTAAGGGATCTACAAAAAACTACTAACACTAATAAGTGAAATCACCAAGGGCATAAGATAAACAGTTAATATACAAAAATCAATTCTATTTCTTGATGCTAGCAAAAGACAATTGAAAATATATTTTAAATGCTATTTGAAATAGCAAGGAAAACACTATAAAATTTGTAGAAACAAATTAACAAACCTGTACACTTTAGCAAGTCCAGTGTACCGAAAACAAAATGTTGCTAAAAAATCTAAATAAGTGGAAAGATCTGAAATATAATAGATTGAAAACTCAACATGGCTAAGGCATCAATTATCCCCACAATTACTCTATATACTTCATTTATTCCAATAAAAATCTCAGTATTTTTTGACAAGTTGATTCTGAAATTTATATGAATGCAAAGAATCTAATATAGTCAAAGAAGCATGAAAAAATAAAGTTGGACAACTTCCACTATTTCAAGTCTTTCTAATCAGCTAGAGCATATTATGATATTAGCATAAGGACTGAACAGTAGAACAAAAATAAAATCCAAGAATAGACCCTTACTAATACAAGGCCATTTAGTAGAGAAAAGTTATTTCAATAAATGTTGCAGGAATGAATGGATGAGAACTGAGGTATGATTCATCTTGTGGCAAATTACTCTCTATGAACCTGTGAAACCAGAAAACAAATTGTATGCCTCCAAAATACAATGGTGTGGGGCTGGGGATGTGGCTCAAGCGGTAGCACGCTCGCCTGGCATACGTGCGGCCCGGGTTGGATCCTCAGCACCACATACAAACAAAGATGTTGTGTCTGCCGAAAACTAAAAAATAAATATTAAAATTCTCTCTCTCTCTCTCTTTAAAAAAAAATACAATGGTGTGAAACACATAGGATAAGACATTACTATTCAGAAATGGGGTAACAGGCAAGTAAAAAGGAGTCATACAAGCTCCAAGCAAATCTGAAATTTAGTATGGAAAAACTGCTCAAGAATAATCCCCTTGGACTTGATATTCTATCTTCTGGGCCCATCAGACAGTGGTCCTAGACTCTCAGTCCTGAATAGCTGTGACAATCAGGAGTAGTTTTGCCTTCCTTTCACCATCCACAAAAATTAATTCAAATATATCAAAGCTAAAACTCTAAAGTTTCTAGGGGGAAAAAACACTTAAGGTAGATACTAATTTTTCCTTAGGTTGCTAAACAATAACCATGAAATTAAAAAGAATAATAAACTCTACTTCATCCAAATTAACATTTTCTACTAAACATAGGAACAATTCTGAAAATGAGAAAGCAAGCTAAGATGGGGAAAAATATTCCCCATGTAAATATTAAACCATGAAAAACTAATTAATGGTTATTTAAACTCAAAGTATGTGTCTTGTGAAGTGGGAGTTTGCTGCAAAGGGGCATCAGGAACTTTCCAAGGTGATATAAAATATTCCATACCTTGACTGAAGTGTTAGTTGAGCAAGTGTGAACCTTGTCAAAGTTCATGGATCTATATATTTAAGTTTTACATGCTTCATTGTAAATAAAATATACATCAATAAAAAAAATAAGCATGGGGAACACATTAAGAAGCTCTGGAAATGTATAGTCAATTTTTAGTCTGTGAGTGGATTATCAGCAAGCATAATGTAAAACTAATTTCTATTTTGTTATAAAATAAATATAATTCTTTTCTGACCACTTTACCTTCTTAATTATACAAGTCCTGGCCAATATTAAGATTTACTTGGCATTCACTAAGAATACACTAATTTGGACAACACAAAGAGTAAGCATGAAAATATGCAAAATAGTAACAAAAAATGTCTTAGAAATAAAATCCAATGAAATATAATCCACAGTAAGATTACCTGTTGAGCCTACAGAAAAGAACAATAGGTGGTTAGGGTACTTGGATTTTAATAATTCTGGCTCTATTAGCCTTCCAGCCCATCTCTACCTCAACCAGTATTCAATAACTTGTAATTATAATTATTTTAGATGATTATAACTAAAAATAGTAGATATTATTATTTAATAATTCTAAACAAAAATCAGTAACGATGCATTCATTCCGGGTTTTTTGTTTGTTTGTTTGTTGTTGTTTTCCATGATTCAGTGAAAGCGGGCTAAGTGTCCCTCACTGGGCTGAGGCTCTGAGGTTACCGTAGTTGAGAAGACATGGTCCCCATGGTCAAGAGAAGCGTGGTTTCAACTCCTCCAGAAGGTCGGCCACTCACAGACATCAGGTTGGTCCCACGTCAGCCCAGGCATTTTCGGTAGGCGGCAGCCTCTGACCTGTGCTTCTTTCTTTCTACAAGTTAGCACCAAACAGAAAGCAATTCCCGCTCCAGCCGGGAGGCGGCGGCCCGCAGTTGACGCGATTCGGGATGCTTTGGACTCAGCCGAGGGGGCGCTCTCGTCCAGTTCTCAGGCCGCGTTTCTCCAAACGGAACCATCAGGTTTGGCCACTGATTTCTGGGGGGTTTCTTAAAGGGCGCGCACCCGGACCTTCCCGGCTTCCGTACGGGTTGCTGTTGCAGGGCTCGGGATGGAAGGAAGCGACGAGTGAGAGCGTTGGCTTCCTCCGGGAGACTCCGCCCCTGTGCTACTTCTTCCCGGTGCTCAGGCCGGTCGTGCACTTTGCCGGGCGCCCGGGAAAGACCGGGGGATGATGGTACAGATGGAGACACAACTGCAGAGCATTTTTGAGGAGGTGGTGGTGAGTGCATCTACCGGCAGCCTGGGATTGTGGCTCAGGAGCGGGTGACAGAGGCAGCCTCAGGAACTCGGCCTGGGCAACCTCCTCTCCAGCCTCCCCTTTGTTTTTGACACCAAGTGTGATTGCAGGGGATTAGTGATTCTCAAATTGTTGTTAGATGGAAGTGTCCTTTTGAATTCACAACCCCTTTGGGGGACATATCTAAGTGGTATTGTTAATTTCAGCGCGTTGCTGATTTAGGTGACTTGCTCTTTGCCGCATTGTAAATATTTCGAGGGGGAGCCCTCTCCTCTTTTATTCGGGTAGTTTACTTGTTTTATTTTGCTTTTTACAGAAAACGGAAGTCATAGAAGAGGCTTTCCCCGGGTATGTGCATGGAAGATTTTTGTGGTTTTAATGGGATTATGTCGTTGTAAGATTTTACTTAGATTGGCGTGGAGGGTTATAAGATCCACTATTCTAGTTATTTAATTATCTTTTTAAAACTAGCGGCAAATAATTGATTTTTGCTCTTATAGGATGTTTATGGATACCCCGGAAGATGAAAAAACAAAACTAATTAGCTGTTTGGGGGCCTTCAGACAGTTTTGGGGTGGTCTTTCTCAGGTGAGCACTGCATTTTGAATACATTCAGCCAGTAATTGTCGGCCCCTTTCATTTTTACATTTACTTTGATATTGCTGTTAAGATCTTTTAGTAAAGGAATAAATAGAACTGCCATCCACTTTTATTCTGGTTTCCATTTTGTTTTTAAGTCGTATACTTAAGGGGGTAACAGAATTCACATTGATGACAGCACTGTGGGAGATGTTTTTAAAACTCTCTTGTTAGACTATCTAAAACTATTTTCATGCTATTTTGGCTTAGTTAGTACACTTGAAAATTTTCCGGTAATAGATAAAAATTTCCTTTATTTACTCCCCAGTAAAAAAAATGCACAACAATGATACAAAGACACTACAGTAAAGATTCAAAGATGCTACAGTAAGGATACAAAGTTTCTATAATAAACATATGAAGACATTATAGTAAAATTGGGGAAAGGAGCAGTAAACTTAGTAACAGAATAACCACCAGAATATCTTCTCATGGTTTACCATAGGTGATGGGAAATGAGATCTGTATGCTTGTGAGCCACAGGTGGTAAGATTTGCCACTCAGATGTGGATTTTATATATATATATATATATATATATACACACACACACACACACACACACACATACATTTATAAATGTAAATACATTTATATTTAAAATTTTTATTTTAACTATTTTCAAGTGGATATCTTTATATCGTTCAAAATACAAATGATAAAAAAGGATGGATCCAGTGACCAATCTGTCTCGTGTCTTTCTTAGCTAAGTCACCTGTTCTTTTTCCAATCTGTAGCCAGTATTCTATTTTTTTTTCTTTTAAAAGTAAGTATTCTTGTGGCATTTTTACACAATGGAGTATTGCACAGCACTAAAAAATGACAAAATCATGGAATTTGCAGGGAAATGGATGGCATTACAGCAGATTATGCTAAGTGAAGCTAGCCAATCCTTAAAAAACAAATGCCAAATGTCTTCTTTGATTTAAGGAGAGCAACTAAGAACTGAGCAGGGAGGAAGAGCATGAGGAAAAGATTAACATTAAACAGAAACGAGAGGTGGGAGGGAAAGGGAGAGAGAAGGGAAATTGCATGGAAATGGAAGGAAACCCTCAATGTTATACAAAATCACATATAAGAGGTTGTGAGGGGAAAGGGGGGCGAAAAACAAGGGAGAGAACTGAACAACAACAGATGAGGTAGAGAGGGAAGATGGGAGGGGAGGGGAGGGGGGATAGTAGGGGATAGGAAAGGCAGCAGAATACAACAGTCACAAATATGGCATTATGTAAAAATGTGAATGTGTAACTGATGTGATTCTGCAATTTGTATTTGGGGTAAAAATGGGAGTTCATAACTCACTTGAATCCAATGTATGAAAGATGATATATCATGAGCTTTGTAATATTTTGAACAACCAATAAAAAAAAACGTAAGTATTTTTAATAGAATCTCTCTTTTTTTATTCAGTGCCTGAGATAGAACCCAGGGCCTCACACATGCCATGTATGTGCTCTATTACTGAACTATACATCCCCATCTCAGAATCATTTTTCTGGAATGGTCACATATTACTAGTATTGCTCATTAATTAGCACCTTTTTTTCTCTTAATAATTTCTGGGGGTAATTTCATATCAGTCCATTAAGACTGATTCTTTATTTTATGTGGTCCTTAGGATCAAACCCAGGCCTCATGCATGCGAGGCAAGCTCTTTATCACTGAACTATAACTATACCCAGTCCCAATATATATATAATTTTTATAGAAATTGTTTAAATTGCCATAATAGTTAGTTCTCCTTACATCCATGTATTAGAGTGTCTATTTCTTATAGCCTTATAATAGAGATTTAGTAACTTTTTGGTCTTTGTTCATCAGACACATGAGAAATTTTATCTCAGTATAGTTTTACTTTGCGTTTCTCTCAGTAGTATTGAGCGTCTCTCAAACATTTGAGTATTTTTAAATTCATTGAAAATTTTATGATGTAAGGTAGGGCTCTTGTTTTCAAGAAGATTATATTCTAATGGGGGAACCAGAAATACAATTGGTATTTTAAAATCATGGTTATATGTGCGTTAACGGAAATGTTTGTAACAACAGAGAAGCAGGACTTACAATCTCTTCTTGAATAGAGATTTTTTTTTTTGAGATATCCTAGAAGACAAACTTTGATATGAGTCCAACTTTTTGATAAGTTTTTCAAGTCAGAAATTTGATATGTCATTGGACTTTTAGTGGGCTCTTATTTGGGGTTCTAGGAATGAGACTCACATTGAATTTTCATGAGGCTAATGTATTAATCCATAATAGATTTTTTTTTCTTCCAGTGACAGAAAATTTTATATCTAGTGGTAAGGGCACTGCTAACAGTACCTTATGTAGTTTGTTTTAACCATGAATGTTAATAAAAGCTTAACTACTTTTGGAGATCCCATACAGTAAACGTAGAAATTTAACCTATATAATTGCAAGATGTTACACTTAATTTAACAAATAATATGTCTGAATTTTTTCAACTTACTTTTTTTATCTTGCTTTTTCATCTGTAAGTGGATGAAAATATTTTTCATGATAGATGAAAATACTTTCACAATGAAGTATTTCATTCATAGTCTTGATATACTCCCAGGTGTAGTATTATCTATTATTAGTTATAAAGTGTAATTTTAGACCTAAAATAATTTTCTAATTTTCCAGGAGTCTCATGAACAATGTATCCAGTGGATTGTTAAATTTATTCATGGCCAGCATAGTCCTAAAAGAATTTCTTTTCTTTATGACTGCTTAGCAATGGCAGTTGAAACTGGTCTTCTTCCACCCAGGTATGTTAAATGGTGGGTGTGAGCAACCTAAAATATTTTCTTCTTTATACATTTTGGAAATTGGTTAAGGTGTTCTTGTGCAAAGATAAGGGAATAAAGAAGGAAATGAGGATGCTCAAGTGACTGGGATTAATAAGCAGCTTTTTTTCATAGTCTCTTACATTCTTATACTTTAATGTGGCTAAGGCTGGAGTTGTGACAAATGCTTCCTCACAGATTCTTCTATGTTCATCTGAAATTTCCTCTGGAATTCTCAACCAGAACCTATACATGCCCTCACCTTGTGACCTGAACTTTCTCACAGCTTGTAAGGTCTAAGAGAAAGCTTGCGAAACAGGTTTAGGAAAAGAAATTATCCCATATCCTTGTGGCCATAGTTTTAGGCCTATCCAGATCTAAGGAGAGAAAATGTAGACCCTTCCTCTACCTCTCCAAGGGAGGAGAATTAGTGTTATATTTCAGAAGAGCATGTGAGGTTGAAAATCTTGTTGCACACCATCTTGGACAAATACAGTCTGCCACTAGCTGGTAGATGATAAACACTTAACCGAAAGTTTTGATAATTTTCTTTCTCATAAAAATATGGTGAATAGTACTTAGTTCTACTTGGTGTTTTTTTTTTTATATATAAGCAAAAATAAATATAAAATGTTATATATGATCTAAAAGTATACTTAAGTAATAATGCACTTTCATGAAATATATTTGATATGACAAATATAGTACCTATAGTACACAAATCATTTTGTGAACTTTCAAAATTACATATTGTACCTGGAATGAGTATTTCTTTCTTTTTTTTTTTTTTTTTTTTATAGGATGGTTTGTGAATCTCTCATAAACTCTGACACTCTTGAATGGGAAAGAACACAGCTTTGGGCCTTAACATTTAAACTGGTTCGAAAAATCATTGGGGGAGTGGATTACAAGGTATTTTGTTTTTAATTATAAGAAGTTGTTTACAGACAAAATTAATTTTTCAGTATATACATCACACACACACACAATTTTTAAGTGAGAGAAACAAAGCAAGAACATTTACATAATATGCCTATTTTAAGGATATAAGATTACTCTGTTTTTCCCAACTTTTCTCCATTTTCTTCTAAAATTCTTAAGATACAGGTAGCTAATATGTTTTTTTACAATGCAGTAGGGAAGTCACAAAGCAGAATTTGTGTTCCTTCATGCCTCTAGTCTTCTAATGTTGGAATATAAAGAGCCCAGAATAGGGATGTGTGGAACTGAGAATGGACGTGGGCATTAATTGATAAAAGAAACAAGCCCTGTTTCACTTCCACCTTAATTTCCCTTGGACTTATGTTGTTTCTTAACTAATATCCTCAGTTCTCTGCTCTTGACAAAGAACAATATACAATCTCTAGTTGCATTTTATAATATAGTTCAGGAGCTCTGTAGATGGAAAAGCCATTTTGCTTCGTGGAAACACTTTCGATATTGTTCTTTTCCAAAAATTGTCTATAACTGACCATATGCTTTATGTCTGCTTGTTCTCCAATCTGAAATGACTTATCAAATTATGACCTAACAGATGATTATTGGCTTAAATCATTATTTCACATAAAATTAATTCTAAGTAGGTTTTTTGGTTATTTGCTTTTTACTCAGGCTTACCAGTTTTTGCCCTCTGTTTACTTGTATGGTGTTTTATAATTATTCTTCTGTGTGTATTCCCTATCTTTAGAACTTGGAAACAGAATTTATACTCAATAAATACATGTGGAATGAAATTTCTTCTCTGTATGTCAGATAATGCAACTGGTAGATATGTGGAGATAAACAGAGAAGCTTTGTTGGATATGTTTGAGAAATTAGGGTATGTGAACAGTAAGAAGGGGAATAAAATTGCAATATTTTGAAAGCAGTGAGTAAAGAGTCATCTGCCAGAATGCTTATAATTGCTACCCACAGTTTCAGAGTGTTTTCAAGACCTGTTCAAATTCTTTCCTTTTCTCTTCTTGGTACTGGGAATTGAATCAAGGGCTGGTTTATCCCTGAGTTACATCCCCAGTGCTTTCCAAGACTAGCCTGCCTCAGCCTCCTGAATCACTGGGATTACAGGCATGCTCCACTATGTCCAGCGTCTTCAAATATATTTCTGTACATTACATAAGCAAAGCTTTTTTTGACCTTTGTAATAGTAAGAAATTCCTCTAATGTTTTGAGGGCCAAAAAATTTTAATTTTTATTTATAAGTGACTTACTTTCTTTATATTGCAAGATGATATTTTAGATTTTCACTTTGAAGCATGACTCTTCTCTAAGGTTAGCATTATGGACTTAAATGTTAACTCTGCTTAAGAAAATTTAAAGGTATAACCTTAAAAGGAGTACATAATCCTGAAACCTTTGAATGTCTTAGCTAACACTTGGATAAACTCAGTCTGTTTCTTTTTTCTTTTATCAGGGTGTTCGAGATCTCTTAAAAGTGATTTTGGAGAAAATCTTGACAATTCCTAATACAGTGAGCTCTGCTGTTGTACAGCAGCTGCTAGCAGCAAGAGAGGTAATTTAGACATGTTGAAATTCGTTGATCATATCCTCAAAAAAAGCCTAAAAAAAGTTTTGTTTGGGTCTATGCTTTTAAATTTATGATAATTTTAGAATGTTTCATTTAGACTCCCACCAAAATTACTTTTATTTTTAAAGATGGTATTTCAATTTTATTAGATTTCAAAAGGAATTTTAAAATTTTAACTTAAGATTTTTAATTGTAAAAACAACACTATAGATATTAAAGTATTTTAAAGTATTATAACATCATCAGCCTATGAATCACTTAAAAGATTTTCTTGATTTGTAACTTATTTCATAAGAATTGCTATTTTGATCGATTGCTCTCCTAAATCTATGAATATTTAAAGCAGTTTTAAGGTATTTACTATTAGTCAACATTTCATTCTGTTGTTTATTATTCTTCATTTTCAGATGTTCTTTAAGGGTTTTCCTTCATGTTACCACTGAACCCAATAAGTCTATGAAATGATATATCTTTTTTTTTTAACAAGTAAAAATTGTTTGTGTACATTGTAGAATGGCTGAATCAGGTTGTTCAGCATAGATTACCCCATGTATTTATATTTTTGTAGTGAGAATAGTCTGCTTGTTAACAGATAACAATATTGTTATTATAGTTACCATAATGTATAACAGGTCTCCTGAATTTGCTCTTCCTGTCTAATTGTGCTTTGCCGTTTGATCAACATCTCCCAAAAAAAGTAATTTAAAAATTTTTTTTTAATTAATTTTATTTTTTTGGTGGTGGTGCTAGTGTATCAAACCCAGGGCCTCATGCTCTGCCACTGATCTACATCCCCAGCAAATCTTTTTACTTTTTAATGTCCTTTATTGTTGTTGTCATTGTTTTATTTAAAGAGCTTACATGTGTGACTAGTCAAAAATAATGTTGCCCTTTTATTTTTCTTAGGTTATAGCATATATCTTAGAAAGAAATGCCTGCTTATTACCAGCCTATTTTGCAGTCACAGAGATCAGGAAACTATATCCTGAGGGAAAACTTCCACACTGGGTAAATTTTATATTTTCCAAATTTTTAAAAGAAATTTTAATCAAAAATAGGTACATGTTATTATTTTTATGCTTATTTTTAAAAGTGTTTACTTTTATCCTCAGATAATATGTATTATTTTTTTGTCATTATGTGTTTCTTTCATTTCCCCATTGAACTTTTAACATAGTTTTTATGCCATTTGTTAAAAAACTATACAGTTACATCAAATGGCTAAGGGTTTGTGGTATGACTTGGTTTAATTCAGGGAGAGATGAATAGGTAAATAATTGTTTGGAAGGAAAAAAAAAAAGGAGAGCTAATCTTTGAGTAATTATCATGTGCTAGGCATTAATTAACTCTTTACATGTAATCTTGATCTTATTTGTTTTCTTTCTTTCTTTCTTTTTAGTTACTTGGAAACCTAGTATCAGACTTTGTAGACACCTTCAGGCCCACGGCAAGGATAAACTCCATATGTGGTAGGATTGTAATTTAAAATATACTAAATAGTACCTGATTTTTAGTGATCTGATTGTTGAAGAAAGCTGAAAGATAGTTTCTTATACATACATGTGTAGATGGCTTGTCATTTTAGTAACTCTCTAGGAGCTTAATAATAGCCTTATACTTGTTTTCAAGTACTTTTTGTTTATAGGAATGAAAAAGCAACTATGTGGAATGGGTTTAAATTTCAAATTAAAAGAAGATGTGTTTCCTGGTAGTTAGAAAGAACTTTGAATCTCTAGACAACTGGAAAACTCAGCAGACCTGTCCTTCTGTGAAAATAGTCATGAGAGTATGACCCTTTGTCATTAACACCTTTGTCCTTCATTGCATTTATTTAGTTTTCCATTTTCTCGTATTTTGTTTTGATTCTCTGATCTTTTAAAAATAACCACGTGGTATGGCAATCTATGTAGTGCACAAATCTACACCTAAGTATACTTTTTCTAAAAATTATGGTGGCCTTAGAGCTCTCTGGGAATATAGATCATATTTATTCTGTGATCAAGTATAGATTACTTCCTGTGAGCCAGGTACTATCTAGACACTAGAAATGCAGATAAACAAAAACTAGATAGATAAGTCTGAGGCTTCTAGGTTCTATAACTGAGTGATCACTGATGTCATTTAATGAAGTAAAGTAGTTTTTGAAAAGGATGATGTTGAGTTATACTTAAGACATGTTGAGTCTGAGGCAGGCCTGTGGGATATTTAGGTGACAGTATTCATTTGTCAGATATATGAACTGATGGTCAAATGCTACATCTAAAGCTTCTAGGGACATCTTGCATAAAGTTAATCATATTGACTCTTGACCAGGGTTCTTAAACTTGATATAGGGCCATCTTTTAAATATTTTAAGCTTTTGTGCTACGCAGTCTTGCAACTACTCAACTTTGCCATTGTACTGCAAAAGCTGCTTTTTTTCTAGTAAAACTTTATAAAAAGAGATGGCAGGCTAACTTCTGTTGGACAAAATGCAACATTTTGAGTTTGGGAGACCTGTACAAATTGATCTTCATCCATCTGGACAAAATATAGGGCAAAAAAATATTTCTACACTTCAGTCTCTTTAAGACATTTTAAAAACCATTTTTAAACCAGTACCCGGTTCAGCATATATAGATATTTAGATATTTGTGGAGTGAATGAAGGACCTGGCACTGCTATGTTCACATTTACTTTAAGACATTTTTGTGCTACATACAGGCCGCTGCAGTCTTCTACCAGTTGTAAATAACTCAGGTGCTATTTGTAATTCATGGAAATTGGATCCTGCAACTCTTCGTTTTCCTTTGAAAGGCCTTTTGCCATATGATAAGGTATGTTGTTAAATATAATTAAACTTCTGGTCCATCTAGCAGTATTCATCTAGATTGTAAGATATGTGATGCCATCATTGTCTCTTTGTGGTCTGAACAAGTAAATATTGTACAAAGATTTATGGTTTTTCATGTTATTCCATCATCCAAATATATTCTACCATTTATGCTGTTTTATTTGTGCTTCTGTGGTCTATAAATACTTGAAGATAGAACACACAAATTTTAAAGTGATTCTTAGACTAAGACCCTATATTAAAAAAGTAGTATAACCAGGATTTGATTATTCCTAAACTATTACTTTAGTGAGCAAGTCTTGAAGATTGGACTGATTACTTTTTTGGGGTGTAGAGTTGCTCTTACAACTCTTATCCACAGTAAACCAACTCTTGTTATAAAATCTTCTGCATTAAACAGTCACTTTGACTATTCTGTTTAAAAATGATCCAAGAAATCCTTTAAAACTAGTACTTGAGAGGCTGGGGTGTGACTCAGCAGTAGAGCACTTGCCTAGCACCTGTGAGGCCCTGGGTTCGATCCTCAACACCACATATAAATAAAGAAAGAAAGAAAGAAGGTTTTGTGTCCAACTATTTTAAAAAAAGAAGAAAACACTAGTACTTGAAGTGAATGCTTATGTTTATATGCCCTTTTTGCAGATATTTTACTATTAAAATGAAAAAAAAGGATCAGACTCTGGTAGCTGGGGTGCAATGAGAGACTACAGCCTAATAGGAGTGAATTTACAAGAAAAGAAAATTTCAAGAGATTTATTGTAGTAACTATTGCTAAGGGTTTTTTTGTTTGTTTGTTTACCTCACAATTATAATGGCAGAAGTTTTAAAAGATTTTCTTAAAAATCAGTACATAAAGTACTTCTTCCTTCCTTCTAGCCAAGAGACCTATAAAAAATAAAACCAAGCTAACAATATGTAAATAATACTTAAAATAAATTTTCCATTTACTGTATTAACACATTGTCTTCAACAAAATAGACATAAAAAATGATGTACTCTAGAAAACTTACTCAAAAAACAGTCTGGCATGCATGGAAGAGTTAGAATAAACTTAGAATGAAATCTTCCTAAATTATTATATTTAATAAATGTTAACATTTTAAAATTAATATATTTTAGGTATAGGCCAACTAAATTAACAAATACGAATTTATCTATATCTCTGAAAATTTGTATATTTAAGTGCCAAAAAGTAATCTTGGCAATCTTATTAGGGAACCGGGAGATTGATCCTTTTATATTCAAGGCATATTGAATAAACTTTCATGTTAGTCATTTGGAAAAATGGCTGTAAACTCTGAAAAATATTTTACTTTTAAAATGTACCTTTTGGTATTAATTATTGTAAACTAGATTTGGTTTTCAGAAATTTTGTTTATATGCTTAGAAACTTTAGAAAATTGACTGTGAGGTTTTCACATAAAGGAAGCAAAGATCTCAATGATGTTTCTCTAAAGAGACATCATATAGGAAAAAAATTTTTATAAATTGACATTGTGAGACTCTAAAATTGAAAACTGTTCACCTTTTATTTTTTTCAGGAAAGTAGAGGGGGATTACACTAGGGAAGGGGATTAAAAGACCTGGTATCTTTATCTTTACCCTCTGTATGACCTACAGCAAGTCTCTTCTCCGTGGTTTTTAAATGAATGGTGGGAACAGATTGACTATAACCACTAAAATCCTATAATTTTTTTTTCCACTAGATTCTGCCTACTGTGGGAAGGTAACAAGTGCCATTAGAGGATTTTTTAAAATCTCATTTTCAGATCATTTGCATTAATGCTTTATGTTTATCTTGAAGCAATAATTATTTTTTTATTTTCTTTAAAGGATCTATTTGAACCACAGACTGCTTTGTTGAGATATGTATTGGAGCAGCCTTATTCCAGGGATATGGTCTGCAATATGCTAGGTTTAAATAAGCAGGTACTGTACAATGCTGGAAACTTAGTAAAATCTGCATAGAATCTACACTATTCTTTTCTCTTTTCTTCGCTATAGCTAACTGAGCAAAACAGTTAAGAACTCTTTGGTGACTTTTTTTAGTATACAGTTTGTTAAACAGTATATTGTTTATTATTTATATATTGCTTTAAAAATGTTTAAATTAAAAAGGAGATATTTTTAAAGTTGGTTTATTTTGCATTGCTTTTTTTTCTATAAGGCCAGTTTCAAGTATACCTTTTGCCAGAGAAACCTACACATGACTTAACCAAAGTTTTTTACATTTTTGTTTGTTTGGGTCTCTATTTTTGTGACCCTGGTATCTTCAGTGTGGCCTCCTTGCTGATTTTTTTTTTTTTTTTTTTTTTTTTTTTTTTTTGATGTGTGTTTTGTTGGTTTTGGTGGTTTAACATGTGGGAGGGTTTGTGCTGACTCTGGGTTCCTTGAGGCTGGCCTCATAGTCACTGTTTTGTCTTTTCTTTTTTTCTTCCTTTATTTTTGTTCTGTCCTGTCTTGTCCTGCCCATCCTCCAATGCTCTAGACCTTGAACATTGCTCAGGTATGTTCACAACCTTACTGTTGTATTGTGACTAACGATACGCTGGCCGCTTTGTAGCCACTGATTCCATTTAGAGAATACGTGTATGGTCGGGGCTTGAAATTGGCAGGACCATGCTGAGACCAAGGCCACTAAAAAAAATAAAAACTTCTTGGGATATGAGAGTTATTTTTGGTGGATGGTTTTTTGTTTTTGTTTTTGTTTTTTTGGTGTTTGTTTTTTTAAATATTCTTATTTTTTTGAGAGACAACACCTGGCACTCAATAAAGCCTGTCACTTTTTGATGGGTTATTTTTCCTTCCCACTCCATTTTAATATTTTCATAATTTAGAGCAAAAGCTAGCCTGATGGAATTTTCAGAGATGGAAAGATTTGTGGTAGCCTCTATCTTTCCAGGCTATTAAAACAAACAAATAAACAAACAAAAAGAAAAACTTATGTTGCTTTGTCTTAAAAACAAATTTAAATCAAAACAAAAAGAGATAAAAGCACTTTAATAGAGCTACGCTGCTTTTAAAAGTTGGAGTGGTAAACTTTATACAGGGAAGTCTTTTTTGGAAACATGGGGATTGACAAAGAAATGTCACACTCTTAGGTGACCCCACACCTCTTGACAAACACCCTTCTTTGTCAGTCTTTGCCAGATGTGTCCTCCTCCTAGAGTGGGCTCCTCTCAGTTGCAGCTCACTTATGGTGGGGGAATAAACACTATGGCCATACTTTACAAGCCAAACTCTTATGCAGTCCCAAGTCTGTTCCAGGACTTTTCACCTTTGAGATTTTAATCAAAATAGTGGTTCCAATTATTTTTGTTAAAAATTTTTGAGCCCAACATATTAAAATAGACCAGCTTTTTTATTTTAAAAAGACATTCTTGTTCTAGGTTATATAAAATAGCGTTACTGTTTGCAATACTATAGTGAAGGTTGTGCCAGTGCTTCCATTTATAAAGCCCTATTTTTAAGGACATATAGCTTGGCCATAAAACTTGCTCAGTGTTGAAACTTTGCATGCCAAACCTCACCCTAGTAGCAATATCTCTCTTATTATTTTAAGTTTTTTCTTCTGAAAAATTCACCAAGTTTCCTTGTTTGGAAAAGCCTTTGTATATGTGAAATTGAAACTGTTTCACCACTAGAGTATCAGATAGTTACCTCAATATAATCTGTCAATTTAACTTCGTAAATATCAAGTTATTAGTTCTGGTCAACTTTCACTTGAGTTAGAGGTAAGTATTCAGCTAACTTTGGAAGAATGCTAGCATCATGCTATGTCATAAAATAATTTTTGCAATGAACTATAAGTCATACTCGACTCAATTTTTTTACAGATTGGTGGATAAATGTACCCATGGTCATTTGAGCTGAAGTACCTTACCCCAGATATCTTTAGCTATCCATACCTTTTTTTCTTTTGGGGGCAGCTCAAAGTGTAAATTGACAAAACAATTCAGATAAAAGTATTTCTGATCTGATTATTTCAATAACAAGTTTCAACCTAAAAAAAGTTTATGACTAAGACATAAATCCATAAAAAATAAAGTTTATAATGGAAATGCTGACAGAACATTATTAATATTGGTCCCACTGTAGTGTAAACATTGTCAAAAATTCACAATTCATCAGTAATTGTTTTCATAGGAAACTGTAGTGAGGGGACTTGTAGATGGAAGATAATATGCTGAATTGACTTGATATATTATTTTTACCTACTGGAAAGAAGAGTACAAAATAGAACACACAGTATAAGAAGCTTATGATTAAAAATAATCAAGTCTTCTTATTATATCTTTTATCATTACAGAACTATATCCTGTACTATACTTTCTTGTCCTTTCTCTGGTAACACAATAATTTACTTAAAGCTTGAAACTTTTTAAAGACCTGTCCATATTGCATTTTCCAGTAGGAATTGGGCTATATTATTCTAAAATTGGTCATATTCAGAAGGTCATAAATAGCCCAGTTCTATGACTATCAGGTAGTGTTGGACTTAAATTCACAGTAAAACAGTCTTGTTTTATATATTCAAATGAGAGAATTTGTGTTTTTTTTCCTACTGAATAAAAGCATCATAAATCTCAGCTCCTAAAGCTTATACTTAGTGGGTATGAACTCTTAGTACCATATGACAGTTTATCTCAAACTAATCACTCAGTTTCCATTGGAAGTTATTAACTGGTGTAAGAATATGATTCTGAATGGTAGTTTCTTTGGTTAAAGCAGAGAATTGATAAATGACACTGAAAAGAGATTTTTCCCTCCCAGCTTGTCCTGAATAGATATTGCTTTAAAATTGAGAAAGAATACTAAAATAATGATTTAGAATTAAGCCCTCCTAAGTACTGTACATTAAATTTGCATTGCAAAAGCAGTACCAGAACTGTAACATGAAAAATGTCAAGTGCCTCTCAGTACAGGATATGAGATACTAAGACGAAAAACATTATAATTTACCAGCTTAAATAGGGTTGGAAAGAAATCAGGGATATAGGTAGAGCTTATTAATGCTTTTGCCTGGTTTTTAGCTGTTGTGAAAGCTGAAATTTTAAATAAAGTTCCAGTATAATTTGGGCTATTGTGAAGAAATAAAATTGTTTTTAGATTTAGATATTCTTATTGTTAAAACAGGTTTTAACTAAGTATACATATAAATAGTATGCAAACTAAAATACTAAATTTTATATGTCAGTATTTTGAAGGCTTACATTTACCAACACTTTCAGGAAGCAAGATGTACATAACTATAATAGGAATAGTATCTATTGACTTGCAGAATTATCTTACCCTAGTGATTGATAATTAACTTTTATTCATAGGTCATTAAACTGCCTGGAAAATGTTCATTTGTTCCTCGTAAAAATGATGTATGGTAAAGTCTTAATTTTTAATGTACTTATTTTTTAATGATTATTTTAATTCAATTAGTTTTTAATAATTTAATGTACCTGTTTTTAATAATCAAAAACTAAAAATTTATTTGAGAATAGCAACATAGATCATTTTATAGTTCAGACCTTTCTTTTTGGATATTACCAAAATTGTCAGAGAAACAAAGCAACATGTCTTAGACTATCTTTGAAATTGTTTTGAGAAATATCCTTGGTTTTAACCAAAAAAGTCTAGGAAATTTATAGTTAATCCTATTGGATATTCTACTCCCATCAGATAATAAGACATGAGGTACCACAGAGTTTTCTGTTTGGATTTAATTCTTAACAGAAAAGTTAGGGATAATCTTGAATAATGGCATATATTGAAAGACCATCAGCTTTAACTGTAACTGTTTATACATTGTCAAAATTTTAATATTTTTGGTTTTTCTTTTTAAATTATTAAATAAATGACTTATGATGACATGCCTAAAAACATGTAGGTGACAATCTAGTTTTTAAAACAAATAGCTAATACCAAAAAGGGAAACTCGAAAGTGACTCAGGTGTTAAATACCAGTTTTATTTACTTTATACTTTTTTCCTGAAGTAGATTGATGGATGACCAACATGAATGGAGAAATAGATGACAAATTATTTAGTTTCCAAACTAGAAGCAAATTCCCATCACTAGTGAAAAATTCCTACTGGAAATCCTGGCTTTATTTCTTTTCACAAATTTTCCTGACTCTTGTATACTTTGAATGATCTCACTCTAAATTTGTGTTGTCTGACACATTTCTTAGGTTGTTGGTGGTTGGCAGAACTAGTGAATTTCAAGCCCTGTACACAGTAGTTTTGCATGCTGGTTTAAGAAATAGTCTGTAGTGTTGTCTGTTGCACTTTGCTCTGCTTCATAATGACAATTACATTTGGAGGAAAAGTACTGTAGTCTCAACTGGTGGTGTTAATATTGCTATTTGTAAACCTGTAATGTGGTTGAACTGTGATCATGGCATTGTGTTTTTTGAAAAAAAATATGAAACGACCATTGATGCTTACCGTTTGGGGTAGATGTTTGTTTTATTTGCATGTTTTAAGAAAGTGCAGCTATATTGGAGCTTTACAATTTGGAGCTGGCAAAGAGCATGCAAAAGAGGGGATGCGATTCATTATGTTTTGTTTATTTCTAAATTTGTCCCCATTTTGCATTTTTTCTCTAAATTTGAAGAAATCATATCCCTTTTTCATGGCAAAAGAGTGATCATTTTATCTAAAGTCTAGAGGAAAGTTATATTAGTAATTATATTCTCTAGAAAGGCTTTAAACAGCCTGCTACTAAGTCATACAGCATATTTGTAAAGGAAAAATGAAGTGGCTTTTAAAATATGGCTTATCATACTTCTTTTGGTAAAAATATATTTTTAAAATCACTTTTTAAAAAACAAACCTTTTTGCCTCTAGAAAGGGAAGTTGCATTTTCATTGTTAGTGTTTAAACTCAATTCTTTTTCTTGTTTTAGACTTTAAAATGGTCTACTCTAAAATTAAAGCTGCATTATGTTTGGCTTTCAAGGGGGAAGAGCAGAGGTTAATTTTTGAGTGTTTTTTTATTGTGGAGAAAGTTTCCATTTTGGTATCAGGATTATTCTATTCACTGAAAAACAGTGAGTAATCTGTCAGCTATTTAAGTTTACCTCAGTATTCAAAGATAGTGTAAACTTGTAGTGGTTATTTTAAAATAATAGATACACATACTGGTTTATTTGCTCTTTGTCATTATTTGATCCTTGAAAATTCAAAGTTTTAATCTTTTGAGTTAGATTACAAAACTAATACTGCTGGTTTTATTTCATATGCCTTTTAAAATGTTCTTTTTTCAGTGAAATTTTTGGACTGTGCGATGCCCTTTGTCAAATTGAAACAATGATAATAATAATAATAGAAGTCAAAAATTAGTAGCAGTCTGTTTTGAGGGGAAACTTGAAAAGGATTTTTTCATGAAACTCATCCTCTATGATAATGTGACATGATGCAGCTTTAATATACTAAATCTAACCTTAACTTCTTAAGTTCAATTTCATTCCATGCTTCTCGGCCTCTTGTACAATTAATGCCCATTAACTGGTTACTTCTGAAACTAACCGGGAGGCTTTTGGAATACTGTATTTAATCTCTGCCCTACAGCACAAGCAGCGCTGCCCTGTGCTGGAGGACCAGTTGGTGGATCTGGTGGTTTATGCCATGGAGCGGTCCGAGACCGAGGAGAAGTTTGATGATGGGGGAACAAGCCAACTCTTGTGGCAGCATCTTTCAAGTCAGCTCATTTTCTTTGTGCTTTTCCAGTTTGCCAGTTTCCCACATATGGTCCTTTCTCTTCATCAGAAGGTATGTACCAAGTCTTTTAGTCAGAGCCATCATACCTGTTAGTAAATATATTTTAGACTGGCATGGGCACTACCAGCAATGGCAAAAGTCAGAGCCCTAATTTTTGTTCATTTCAGCACTTTTATGTTTTTTTAACTTTTCACTTTCTTGTCATTATGAAAACTGGATCCATTCATTCATTCTGCATATTCACAGTGCAAGGACCAGGGGATGAAAGATGAAAAGCCACTTTAGTACCCTCAAGAAGCACCTCAGTAGTGGGAAAGATACATGTGTGAACAAGTTGAGTGTAATCTATTAGTTGGCATCATGGAAGCATGTTTCCCTGTGGTAGGAATGAATCATCCCTAGTAAAGCCCTCTATCAAAGAGAGCTTTAAGCTAACACTTAAAGGATGAATAGAAATTTGCTAAGAGGAAAGATAATGAAGGTTTTCCTAACAGTAAGATCATCATTTAGAAAAGGATAAAGGTATGTAAGAACTGAAAAGAAGACTGTGAAGAAGGAAGTGTTGATGTTATGAGGAAGGCAGGGACAGATGTAGAGAACTTTATGCAGCCCTGGGAGCTTAGAGTTTCTTTTGGTAGCCATGAGGTGGGAAATGGCATCATATTTAAATTGGAAAAGTTACTGCTAATGGCCCCATGAAGAAAGATGCTAACCTGGACATGGGTGGGGTCAAAAGTAGAAGCGATGAAATCAGTAAAGAGATAGTGCAGTGGGCTAGGTGAAAGATGCTGAAGGCCTACACCAGGATGGAGATGATGAGCCAGAGATCACATATACTGAGGAGGTTGCATAGGACTAGGTGATTGACAGCAGAGAGTGAGAGGCGAGGCTTGCCTCACTGGTTTCCACTTGGGTTACAGACAGAAGGCAAGGACAGTGAATCCAAGAAAGTAAACACAAGTGGAAGAATAAATTTGTGGGAAGAGCTGGTTTAAGCTTTAAAGTTTTAGGCATGTTGAATGGGAATAAAGTAAATATTAACGTCTGTAACGTTTCTGTAGCGTTGATTGTTTGGAAGCATATCGTTCATAATTTCTTTAACCACCATACCCCTATCCCTACAATTAATTTCTGTTAAACTCTATAGTAAGAAGAAGTATTTTTTGATAACCAGTCCTTAAAGATTTTAAATTTAAAACAAAGATCTTTTTGTATAATAAATGATGTTTTGATAAGGTATTTTTAATAAGAATTACCCTATATTGAGCTTGATTCTCATGCATACATGATCAATTTAATTATGCTCTAAAACATTGAATCTTTAATATGCATAATTATTTTGAACAGGAGACTTGTATTATCATAGTAAAATAATTTATCCAGCTTTTTGTGATGTGTCCTGAATTTAGACTGAAGAGATACTTAACACCAAAGTTGGATATTGAATTTCTAGTATAAAAACCATGTGTGTGGTCAGCTTTTCATTGCTATGCCAGCATGCTTATAAGGAGAAGAGATATATTTTGGCTCACATTTTCAGTACATGTTACCTTTCAGCCTGCAGCAAAGCAAGTGTATCATGATTGGGAGGAAATAGCAGAGGAAACCTGTTCATCTCATGGCACCCAGGAAGCAAAGGAGGGGGAAGGGGCTGAGGACCTAGTATCCCCTTCAAGGGCTCACCTCTGTGATCTAACTTACTTCTTCCACTAGGTGCACTTCCTAAAGGTTTCACCATCTCCAAAACAGTGCTATCATCTGGGGACCAAGCCTTTAGCATATGGATTTTTAGGGTACATTTAAGATCTAAACCAGTATACCAACATTTCTCTTCTTTTTTTTAGGGGGGGAAACCCACAACTTTCTACACCCGACTCTTTAGCTGTGTGTACATTTGTACTTAACATCTTTTACAGTTAGCAGGGCGAGGACTAATCAAAGGCAGAGATCATTTGATGTGGGTTCTCCTGCAATTCATTTCTGGAAGTATTCAGAAAAATGCTCTAGCTGATTTTCTCCCTGTCATGAAGCTCTTTGATCTTCTCTACCCAGAAAAAGAAGTAAGTTTTACTGAGTAGTTAACAATGTGATGAGTGAATTATTACATCTAATTTATATTTAAGAATTTTACTGTAATTTTATGAAAAGAACACTGGATTTGGGGGAGTTTTTTCTCTTTATTTCTGTAAATAACTGTGATCGTGGATTGGGCATTCAATCTCTTTTGATACTAATTGACTTATTTAAAATAAAGAAATTGAACTAGGTTGATTCTAAAAATTTATTCTAAATCGCAATTGAATGTGTAGTGTAGCAAGCATTTGTTCTACATTCAAAGTTTTAAAAAGTACTAACATAAAAGCCAGATACAGTGGCACATGCCTGTAGTCCCAAATACTTGGGAAGGAAAGGAAGATAATTTGAGCCTGAGAGTTTGTGACCAGGCTGGGCAACATAGCAAGACCCTGCCTCAAAAATAATAAATACAAATAAAAGGCACTAACAGTGTTAATCTGTACACATCATTGAATGGCCAGTAACAAAAGTATCTATTAAAATCTATTTTTTCTTTGTCATTTGAGCCTCAGTACTCCCCACCCCCTGGTCTATTATATAAAATATTTGAGTAAAATATGGTCTATTTCTGTGGTTGCCATTCTTTAGAAACACTTTTTATGGGAAATTTTAAATACAAAAGTAGAGTAAATAGAACAGTAAACCCTCATGTACCCATCACCTAAAAATACTTTTATTTCAACTTTCCTCCTTTTTTGTTAATTCTAGACAATTTTAAAGCAAGTTCTGGACTTCCTGTTATTTTACTCATTTAATATTCAATATGCTTAGTGATAGTCATTTAGATTTCATATTTCTTAGACTTTTATATGTTCCAAAAAGAACATATGCTTTCAGGAGGCCCAGGGAAAGGTTGAACAATGACTACTAAGTTGCAGTTAGATAGGAGTAAGAAGTCTTAGTGTTTTCTTGCTCAGTAGGGTGTTTACATATCTTCTGTTTTCTCTTCAGATCATATAATTTTTTTGCTTTTTTCACAGTAGTGTTTTTACAGATGGTGATTGTATACTGTATATCTCAGAAAGCTAGAATGAATTTGAGTGTTTTACCCTGAAAAAATGATCAATGTTCAAGGAAATATGTTTAACCTGATTATACAATGTATACAAATATCAAATATCACATAGTACTCTACACACATTTGTATATGATTTTTGTGTTTTTATTTACTAATTAAAAAACAAACAATTTAAAAGAGCATTTATGAGACTTAGAAATTATATTTTCAGTATATTTATCACATTTAGTAAGATTTCATATTAATGTGTTTAATTTTTAAAAAAATAAAAATTTTTAAATGATTTTTGTTTGAGAATCCTTTGAGATAAAAGGAAAAGCTTGCCTGAGAACTTATGGACTTTTTTTACTTTGTTGGCAAGTTTAAAACATGCAAATAATAATGTTGTTTGTTATTAATTGTTATTTTGCAGTGTATCCCAGTTCCTGATATTAACAAACCCCAATCAACTCATGCCTTTGCAATGACTTGTATTTGGATTCATCTCAATAGAAAAGCCCAAAATGACAACTCCACACTACAAATTCCAATACCTCATTCACTAAAGTTTCACCATGAGTAAGTTATTTGTTGTTTGATTGTTAATTTTCAGTTTACTAGATAGTGGATTATAGGCTAATATGTATGTATAGGCTAAAATGGTTTCAGTATTTGTGTGAAGTTTGGAAATGCCCCCTACTCAATGAAGGTTAGAGTAAATATTTAATATGTATGTCAGAGCAAGAGAAATTGACCAGTCACTGCATCAGAAAACAACTAGAAGATTAATCAATCCTGCTGTATGCTTAGCTGAATTTAAAAATTTTTTAAGACTGATCTTTGCTTTTACATGTTTTACTTTAAAGTTTTTTATTTAATTGAATTATCTTAGCTGTTATTATTGTGAAAATATTTCAAAATTTCTCAAATGCTTTGGATTTGAGCATGATCTGACAGGGACATCTTTCACTCCCTGAGCTGACAAGACTGATGGAACTGATCTGGCTGGCATGGCTAGCATGCTCCCTATATGTCTTCCAAAGGTAGGATGACTAAGAGAAAGTGTCCTTTTTAGATAGGACAGTGCTTCAGTGCAGGGTTCTAAGAATAGCTGAACTTCCCTCCTAGAACTTTTTCTGAAAGGACTAGTAAATCTCTTTGTAAGAGACTTAGGGTAGTCATACTCAATGCCTCATGTGGCTTTCATTTTACAAAATACTGTTTCTTAATGATACTAATAATGAAGTCATATATTATGTTTAAGCAGATAAATAAGAAATAGAAGGCTCTTTAATGGACTTGTTGAGTTAGTTCTCTGAAACAGCCTAATCCATTGCTGTATACATAGTATATACTTAACAAATATTATTAATTATTTAAATTTTAATCATTCAAATTTCTGAAGTGTTAACCAAACTTTTGTGTATGTCTACAGTATATTTGAAAGAAATTATAATACTTATGGTAATAGAGATAGTATTAGTAGACAGTTGCATAAAACTGAACTTTTAAAAAATTCATGTCAATTTCATGGAAATTATTTATATTTTTTCCTGTTTAATGAATGTGAATTTTTAGGTTCTTACAGCAGAGTCTGAGAAATAAAAGTTTACAGATGAATGACTATAAGATTGCCCTGTTATGTAATGCATACTCTACAAATTCAGAATGTTTTACATTACCCATGGGAGCTCTGGTAGAAACTATTTATGGAAATGGAATTATGAGGATACCTCTCCCAGGAACAAGCTGTTTGGCTTCTGCATCTATAACTCCCTTACCAATGAACCTCCTGGATTCATTGACAGTTCATGCCAAAATGAGGTATATTCCTTTTATTTAATTTTTTTGCCCCATGTCTGGGAATTGATACCAGTATAGGACAAACCTTGGTTTCATGATTGTATGTATGTGTTTTATGATCAGGCACATTTAAAAAATAATTAGATATATTTTTATACAAAATGAATGTTAATTATATAGGCATTCTAGCATGTACAAATAAATCAAAGAAAATAATTGCTCATAATCCTTCCATAAAAGATAAGCATTGTAGAATTATTTTGTATATATTGTTAGTCTTCTTTTTCCTGTGGATAAATACATGAATTTCTTTGTTTTGCTATTTTTTTTTTTTGTTGTTGTTGTTTTTTCTTTTCTTCTGGTGCTGGGGGCCTTTGGCCTACAAGGCAAGCACTCTACGCAAGCACTCTACCAACAGAGCTGTATTTCTAGCTCCAATTTTTTTAAGTGTTTTAAATGGACACAACACCTTTATTTCAATTTATTTATGTTTTCTGTAGTGCTGAGGATTGAACCCTGTGCCTTCTGTGCTGGGGCGAGCACTCTACCACTGAGCCACAACCCCAGCCCCCTTGTTTTGCTATTTTATAATTGTGTATTTTCAATAAAAATCAGTCAGACACCTTTTCAGGTCCATATTTTTTCAAATGCATGTTTTAAATTGTTACAAAAGAAGCTTTTTATGAGACTTTAAATGATGATTTAACCATTTCCATGTTGTTGGACATTAAGGTTTTTTTTGCAATGTCTTCATAGTTTAAAGAAGATGATGAAAACTATCTTTATTTTAGTCTTTTCACCATCTATAATTTTATTTTAAATTGTTTTTTAAATTACATTTTTATTAAGTAATTTTCTGGAAGTAGAATTGCTGGGTCCAGGAATGTAAAATTTTTAAGGTTTTTAATAGGACTGTTTTTCGAATTGTCATGTTTTTCAAAAGATAAAAGGCTCTGTTGGGTATGCTTCTAGAAATTCAAGTGCCTCAAGGAGCCAGGTTGAGAATGTAGATGAGTGAAGGCTTGCACAGAAAAATGAGAAGCCCAATGTCAGTGCACATGAAAGCATGTGCTTGTGGAGGAGACTGAGGACAATGGAGAATCAGGGTTCCATCTCATGGTGCTGCCACTTGAGCTTGGGTTTTAGCAGTGATTTATTAATTCTGTGACAAAAGTTACTTAATTTCTCAATTGTAGTTATTTACATATTTGAAAAGAAAAGTAGACTAAAAGTATCAAACATGCTCGTTTGAGTTATACCCAAAGTTTATGTTTCCATGAGCAGGGGGATCTTGATGCATGTGGAAAATACATACACCCCTGGCCAGAAAGCACCATAAAAACCAGAGTTGTTACCATTTGTGCAGTGCATCATTTCCAAGTGTCCTGCACAACCTAAATGTGTCAAATGAGTCAAGTCCATTCAAATCATGTCAGTTCAGATATAATGTTGAGTAACCCATAAATATAGTAGCACCTGAATTTATGTAAATAGTATGGGTTTTTATTTTATTTTCTTTTTTATCTTCAGCCTTATTCACAGCATTGCAACGAGAGTGATAAAACTTGCTCATGCAAAGTCCAGTGTGGCATTGGCTCCAGCCCTAGTGGAAACTTACAGTCGTTTATTGGTCTATATGGAAATAGAGTCTTTGGGCATCAAAGGATTTATCAGTAAGACAGGACTTTTTGGTGTTTATAACTGTTAACTCATTCATTAATTCAGTGGGTATTATTCCATGCTATTGGGGAGAACAGACAATAAAGCCAATAAGTGAAATGTGCAATGTGTCAGTTATTGCATATTATAGAGAAAACCATAGCCAAGTAAAAGGGATAGGAGTTGTGAATTCAGGGGAATGAATTATATTTTTAAACTATAAGAAAAGGGTAATAACTTTCCTATGTACATATATGAATACAGCACAGTGAATCCCACCATCATGTACATCCACAAGACTGGGGCCCTAATTAGAATAAGATATATTCCATGCCTTTATAATTTTTGTTAAAATGGACTCTACTGTCACATATAATTTTAAAACAAAGAAGAAGAAAGAAAAGTGTAATGGGTTGCAGTGAGCAGGATGATAGATAAGATCCATATCCTCCTGCAGGTGGTTTCTGGTTAAAGGCAATAGTATGGTCCTGTGGTGGGTACTGAGTCTTACCTGCAATGAGTAAGGAGTTAGTCTTCATTGCAAAAGATGTGATATAATGTCTGTTAGTTGTTAGCAGTTCTAAGTAATATTTTCTAATTAGAAGTATTTTTTCTAATTCATGGTGATTCTAATTTTTACTAATACAATTTAAATTTAATAACTCTTTCCACATAACTGAGAGTTGACTATAACTTTCTTGAGAAAGAGGAGAAAACAAAGGAGAATATGATGTAATTTTTTGGTATTAAAAAATAAACCTAGAGGCTGGGGTTGTGGCTCAGCAGTAGAGCGCTTGCCTAATATTTGTGAGGTCCTGGATTCAATCCTCAGCACCACATAAAAATAAATAAATAAATAAATAAAGGTAGTGTGTCCAACTACAACTAAAAAATAAATAATTAAAAAAAAAAATAAACCTAGGCTTGGGACACAGTTCAGTGGTAGATTGCTTGCATCGCATACATGACGCCCTGGGTTCTGTCACCAGCACTCAAAAAGGAAAAGTGAACCACATACTTCAAAAAATTGGGAACATTAAAACTTTTTGAAAATAATTTTTAAAATAACTAAGAAGTGAGAAAGGTTAGAATAATTATCTTTCATATCTTGTCTCATTTTCCCAGATTAATTTGAATCTCTTTTTTCCAATTCCAGAAAAAAATTAACTTGGTATAATAATTAGGATCTAGATATTTTTCCATACAATAAAGTGGAAAATAAGGAGAAGAAATGAAAAATATACATGTGTATATGTGTGTGTGTCTTCATGATCATTGTGTATATGTGTATCTTTGTGATCATATCTGTACATACATTTTACCCAGTGTGACTTTCTTCAAATATCTTTTAATGCATAGCTTAAATTATCTTGTTGCTCCAGGTCAGCTCTTACCAACTGTTTTCAAGTCTCATGCTTGGGGGATCCTGCACACACTTCTTGAGATGTTCAGCTACCGGATGCACCACATTCAGCCTCATTACAGAGTTCAGCTCCTGAGTCATCTTCATACTTTGGCTGCAGTTGCACAAACAAACCAGAATCAACTCCATCTTTGGTGAGCCTGGTGAAGCCTTCCTTTCCTTAAGATTTATAGGAAACTTCATTGAAGATGGAGAAATTGATCTTTCACCTTATCATTTTTTAGTTCATTTGTCATGAAATTCCTCTGCTTCTGAAGTATGGTATTTCTAGTGTAGGAGTGAGGATCGGTTTATTAATAGACATTGAAAAGGATAGTTGAGTCCTTGCTTCAGGATCTTTGGTCTAAAACTGAGTACTTCAAGGCCTTTACTATTATGTTCTAACCTATCACCTTAGAATGCTGGATTTAAATGTACTTGAAATTATGGTTAAAGTAACATTTTGATTTTGTTTTAACTGAAAGTACATTTCAAATAAAAAGATTAATTTTCAAAATTTTCAAAATCCAGGTGAAAGTTTTTAGTCCTACTTGCTACAAACTATCTCTTTTCAAATATATGAAAATGTTAGATGATTTTCATTCTTAAAAGTTGGTACTTCAGGTCTTTTTAACAAATTAAGCAACATTCATTCTCATATAAAAGAGGGGTCTTTTTTTAATCAAAGAAGGAAAATTTATAGTTTTCATGCTTTTACAGTTTAATTAACCTAGAATTAGGTTTAATTTCCTAATTTTGAACTTATATATGCACCTTCCTCACTTTTCTTTTTCTTGGCCCTTTTTTCAGTGTTGAAAGCACCGCTCTCAGGCTTATAACAGCATTAGGTAGCTCAGAGGTACAGCCACAGTTTACACGTTTCCTTAGTGATCCCAAAACAGTATTATCTGCAGAATCTGAAGAACTGAACCGAGCCTTGATATTGACCTTAGCCAGAGCAACTCATGTAACAGGTATGATTATGGTACTAACTGCAGTGAACCACAACACATAAAAGAGTGCGTCATTCTGGTGACTACTGTGGGGAAACATACTAAAAACATACTTTTTTAAGTACTGGTTCTTGAGTTTTTTGATTTTGTGACTGCTTTATAATCTTAGAAAAAAAAAACTTTTTGAATTCCCAAAGAGTTACTGCTTATGGATTATTTCTATGAATATTTACTATCTAAGGTATTTAAAGGAAAAATTTTAATTCATTAAAGAATAAACTGATTACATGTGAACATAAGTAATAATATTTTATGAAAACAAAAGTCTATTTATAGACAAGATTTTAGTGAAAGAGGTGCCATTGTTTTGCATTTTGCATCACTCTTTAGTGTCTGATATAAAGTAAGATAGCAGGAGTCTCACATCTGCTTCTACATTTCATCTGTTTAGATATGCTAATGTTATTTTAATTAAAGTAAGTGGAGAAAGTATGGCCTCTCACAAATACAGAATTGGAAATGGGAAGAGTATTTTAATACCTTTTTTCAGATAATTGTGAGTATTCTTTGACATCACAGCAAAATTGGACACATGATAGTTTCTTCAAGGTTAACTGCAATGTGAAATCCAAAACCCTCTCAGTTAACGTTTCGTACATTGTTGGACTATAATCAATTGGCCTATTTCATACATTGAAGAATAGTAATAATTCATGTGAATTTTCTAATTTTGTAAATTGGTCATTTAGAAAATATTGGTTCACTTAGTTATGTATTTCTAGCACATGTTAACATAATTTATTATCTGCTGTCAGCAAATTACATTTTTTAATATCACTACAAATTTCATAAGAAAATCTCCATGTTTTGGAAAACTGTTTCATGGTGTTGAAGAGAAGTTTTCCTATATTCTAATTTTCACTTGAAACATCAAATTTTATCATTGATAATATACTGTTGTTTGTTTGAAAAAACAGGATCATTTGTTAATTTCCAAGAAGATGTCTACTGCAGTCTATGACTGAATAATTATAGCTTTATGCCAGATGTTCTTTCAAGTGAAATTGAAATTCCATGAAAAAATCAGCTAATTTATCTCTTTTTTTAAATTTTTATTTATTTTTTTAGTCATACATGACAGTAGAATGCATTTTGATATATAATACATACATGGAATGTACATACATCAATCATATTGTCTGTTCTATTCTGCTGCCCTTCCTATCCTCCCTACTCCTCCCCTTCTCTCCCATCCTTTCTCTCTATTCAGTCTAATGTGACACACTTTTTTTTTCTTTTTCTCGTTACAATATCATATATGTAATCTGTATAACAATGAGGTTCTCCTTCCATCTTCTGTGCAACTCCCCTTCTCCCTCTTTTTTCCTCCCACCTCTCTTCCCTATTTAGTGGCAGTCTTCTTCTCATTCTCTTCCTCCCTATCCCATTTTGAGTCACCCCCCTTATATCAGAGAAGACATTCTGCATTTGTTTTTTAGGGATTGGCTAACTTCACTTAGCATAATCTGTTCTAATGCCATCCATTTGCCTGTAAATGCCATGATTTTATTATTTTTTAGTGCTGAGTAATATTCCATTGTGTATAAATGCCACATTTTTTTAATCCATTCATCTATTGAAGGGCATCTAGGTTGGTTCCACATTCTAGCTATTGTGAATTGTGCTGCTATAAACATTGATGTGGCTGTGTCCCTGTAGTATGCTCTTCTTAGGTTTTTTGGGTATAGTCCGAGAAGGGGAATAGCTGGGTCAAATGGTGGTTCCATTCCCACCTTTCCAAGGAATCTCCATACTGCTTTCCAAATTGGCTGCACCAATTTGCAGTCCCACCAGCAATGTATGAGTGTACCTTTTTCCCCGCATCCTCGCCAGCACTTATTGTTGTTTGACTTCATAATGGCTGCCATTCTTATTGGAGTGAGATGGTATCTTAGAGTAGTTTTCATTTGCATTTCTCTGATTGCTAGAGATGGTGAGCATTTTTTCATGTATTTGTTGAAAATCAGCTAATTTAACTCAGCACTTAATTACACAAATACTTTACCTCAAGATACCCTGTAGTTTGTAACACTTTGTTAATGCTTCCCATTCATATAGAATATTAAAAATACATTGAGAGTTAATATTTTTTACAGCTTTGTCAACAGTAGTCATTTTAAGTCACTTTTAGTTGACACATAAAATTATACATATTTATTGGAGTATCAGGATGTTTTGATATATGTATATATTGTGTAATATTCAAGTTAGGTTAGGCATATTTAGCTCCTTAAACATTTGTCATTTCTCTGTGTTAAGCACATATAAAATCCTTTCTGCAAGCTTTTTAAAAAATATATTGTAACTTAAAAAAAAAAAGTATATTGTAACTTATTGATGATAACCTGAAGTGAAACTGGCACTGCTTTTTTTTTAATCACTTGAGAATTATTGTGATGAATACAGTGGCTATTGGCTTATAGTCTGGTGGTCTGTTTTATTTGTACTGAGAAACAGCAGTTTTACCAAAATTGTTTTTTGCACCATTAATATTTACATTGACACATAAAAAGCCAGTGATATCTCAGTGTTATTATTTTAATAGGTTTGATGTTACACAATCCTTGAAAGAACATTAGGGACCCCCAAAAGTCAGCAGGCCACACTTTCCAAATGGTTATTAAAAAAAGGGGGGGTATTGAATTTAGCAACCACAAATATACTTATGCAAACTATATTATTTTATATAAAATAAGCCTATTTGATTTAAAGATATATATGCATATAGTATATAGTTGCTTCAATCACCAGAAAAGACATCTACTTTCTCAGTTCTTTTCCTTTGGTTCAATAAAAAACTTGTAAATCATTGTGATGAATAGTAGTGGTGGCCTGTTCCACTGTTCTTTTGCTGGTACTCTAATTTTGTGCATATTTCCTAATGTGATAATCCAAGTTACTCATAAACTCAGAAAAGCTAGCCCCTAAATGGAACATAACTAGGGAAGCAATGAATACACTGTGGTGAGATTCTTGAATGTACATAATTATTATGTTCTCCATAATATCTTTGAGTTATGGATATGATCACTTACATTTGGATTACATCTATTTGTGTATGTTTAGATTTTTTTACAGGCTCTGATTCAATTCAGGGAACTTGGTGTAAAGACATACTTCAGACCATCATGAGTTTTACTCCTCATAATTGGGCTTCACATACCCTTAGCTGTTTTCCAGGCCCACTACAGGTAATTTGGTCTTGAATGACATATTGGGTATATATGAAATCTTTTTTGCCATTCACAGTGTCATTCTGGGGAGTTAATCTTGGTGACGTCCAGAGATAATTAGCATGTATTTCTTTTTTAATATACTTATATTTCCAGAATCTCTTGAGAATCTCTCATCCTACTCTAGAACCTGACATGTTTCTGAAAATTTAATTGTTATGGCTTCATCTTAATAATTAACATTTTTAGAATCTCACAAATTAACATGTGAAAAAATTTCTCATAGAATTGAAATGGAGAGAAATATAATCTAATGGAGTTTTATAGAGTGCATATATGCTATATTTAACTGAATTTTTTTTAAGTCACAGCAAAACTATGTACCTATTATAATCAATCTGTCTTCTACTTTTAAGAGGAAATTTTAAGGCACAATGAACATTTGTTTTCATAACTTCTAGTAGGACTATAGCAGTGGATCTCAAACTTTTAGACTCACCTGGAAGGCTTGCTAAGCTACACATTGCTGAGTTTCTGGTTCAGTAGATCTGGATAGGGCCTAAAAAATTTATTTTGTAAGATCCAGGTGACACTGTACTTAATTACACAAATACTTTACCTCAAGTAATTACTATGATGGTTTAGGGACCACACTCTGAGAAGTCTAATGTAGTGGATCTTCCTTTCTTCCTTATAGAGACACTAAGATGTATAACCAAAGAGTAGATATGTTTCTTTCTTATCCCTCTACCCCTTCTAAGATTAGTAACATATGATTGCGGAAAGTTCGAATTCACACTTGCTTGGAATTTCTGTTTAGGAAATCTCCAGAAAAGGAACCTTTGAGTTAAAATCTAGTCAAACCTACATAATTTCCAGATACAATTCCACCCTTAAGTACTGACTTGTTTGAGGTCACTTAGTTTATTAATGTGAAAACCAAATCTAGAACTTGTTTCTTAACCCCATATCCAATTTTCTTTTTACTATAACCAGTGAAAAACTTTTGGTGTTCCTTTTAGGCATTCTTCAAACAAAATAATGTACCTCAGGAAAGTCGTTTTAATCTGAAAAAAAATGTTGAAGAGGAGTATAGGAAGTGGAAGTCTATGACCAATGAAAATGACATCATTACCCACTTTTCCATACAAGGCTCTCCTCCTCTTTTCCTTTGTCTTCTCTGGAAAATGCTCTTGGACACAGATCATATTAATCAGATTGGCTACAGGTAAGCCAAGAACCAAAATTTGCATTCCATTTGGCAAACCATTATATCCATATAGCAATAGAATTTATTTTTTACTGTGTACCTTCCAGAGTATTAGAGAGAATTGGAGCCAGGGCCTTGGTAGCCCATGTGAGAACATTTGCAGATTTCCTGGTATATGAGTTTTCTACCTCAGCGGGAGGTCAGCAACTTAATAAGTGCATTGAAATTCTTAATGACATGGTATGGAAATATAACATTGTTACATTGGACAGATTAATTCTCTGCCTGGTAAGAATACTTTTTTTGTTTGGATACTTTTATTCTGTTTTGGATCAAAGTGTGTGACTAATAGATCTTGTACTGATCTACTCAATATTGCTTCAGAGAATTGAATGGATTTCTGTTACAATCAACCATTGCTTTCATTTCATTTTTAAAAATCAGAGTTTTCCTAAATTTCTTATTTATTCATTTAATAAATGTGTTTTGGATAACTACTGTTCTATGCACAGGAAGTGTAGAAATATGGTCCTGGTCTTATGAAACTGTAAAATATGAACAGTTAAACACTGAGTGGCTCCCTCTAGGTGTTGCAAGTAGTAAAAAAATTTACTGCATTTCTGTGCAGAGAGCTAATAAAACCATTTCTTTTCACTCTGGTAGCTACAGTCTTTAACTACAGTCATAGTCACTGAACATTCTCCAAATATTTTCTTGTCTCCTGACTTGATGTCTATCTTAAGCAAAATTTGAAGAGAAGACTGAATCAGGTTGAAAATAATGCACATTTAAAAATTGCTATGATGGTTATATTTCAGTTGGCTTAGTTCTTTGACATTAGCTGTGGAACATAAATGTAAAGATAGTTATAATATTTTAGGGGAAACAAGGTAAATCTATAAATCAGTAAAATAAAAGGGTAAAATAGAGGCATAAGGAAAATATTGCCAGGAAAATAAGAGATCACACATTTACTTAAGTGACAGTTGTTTTGTGATAGACTAGACATCTAAGGAAATCCTAATGATAGATATTGCTGTATTGGAAATTTAGACTACCAAGTAGCAGAGCAATGCTTTTGCATAGATTGGGCATTTTCATTCAGTTTCTATGTTGTTCTCCAAAGGCCATGCGCAGTCATGAAGGAAATGAAGCCCAGGTTTGTTACTTCATAATTCAGTTGCTGTTACTCAAACCAAATGACTTTAGAAATCGAGTAAGTGACTTTGTGAAGGAAAATTCCCCAGAGCACTGGCTACAGAATGACTGGCATACCAAGCACATGAATTATCACAAGGTACTCATTCTATTTAGTTTTTAAAGCCATACTTAGGCATTTGCTTAATTGATTTGGCTGTTTTCTCTGTGGTTCTACTGTTTTCTTTCTAGTTCATATGGAAGTAAACTGACTCTAGTCTAATGAACAAAGAATATATTGAAACTAGAGTTTTAGTAGACATTTGAGTACTTATATAATGAAGAAGGTATAAAGCAGTATAATTTAAAATATTTCCTCTTTGGACCTGGGGTCATAGCTCCGTGGAACAGTGAATGTAGTTAGCATGAGCCCAGTACCAAAAAAGAAAGTACCTTATTTAAAAGAAAAAAAAAATCTAAACACTATTTTCAGTTTTATTTAGCTTTTTTAAGAGAATTTTTAAAAGGTGCCTCAGACATTTACCATCTCCTCATTTCCACAGAAATATCCAGAAAAACTGTATTTTGAGGGCCTGGCGGAACAAGTTGATCCTCCTGTGCAGATTCAATCCCCCTATCTGCCAATTTATTTTGGAAATGTGTGTCTCCGATTCCTTCCAGTATTTGATATAGTAATTCACAGATTTTTAGAGTTGTATCCAGTATCCAAATCACTAGAAACTCTACTGGATCACCTAGGAGGCTTATATAAATTTCATGGTGAGCTTTTTCAAATTTTAATTCTATCTAATACTTACATGAGCAAAAGTAGACTGTGCATGACCATGTGGTAATAGTGGTTCTAAAGGTTTTATTTTAAATGTTTTATTTTGTGAAGTGTTTTAAGAGTAAGTACAGTGGGAGTGATATCATAAAGTATAAAATATGACATAAAAATATAAATAAAAGTATTAGAGAAGAGCAACGTTACTATGAACTAAACAGATATTAACAAGTTTCTTTGATGGGGGTGGTATTTGATTTTTGATGCATATGATTTGTATAAGCAGAAGGTAAATGGGAGCACTTTACGCAGAAGATATAATTTAGGAAAATCATGGAGAAAAACAAGGCATATTTGAAGAAAAATTGTTTTATTGCTCTTAATTGAAAATGTTTTTACTTAAAATAAGACTGGAAAGAGAGATTGTACCTTAAATGCCAGTTTTGATTTTGTAACTTGAAGATAATAGTCTGCCAGAAGCTACTGAGTAAGATGATGGCATGAAAATCACTATGTTAGAAAGATAAGGCCAGTTATAGTTTTTAGCACACCTTGGAAGAAGGATGGCATTAGTGACATGTCAAAAATTGGTATGTATTATTAGTATGTAAACAAAGATGTTGGCAAGGGACAAATAGTCAAGAAAGAAGGAATAGAACTTGATAGGAAAATATGGAAGGAAAGAAATAACTATTCTAACTGTAGTTAAGCATCATATCTGGAGAGTGATTGGGTCAGCAATAGAAGAGTGAAGATCTTAGAGTAGCCACAGTGGGAACAAAGTATATGTATCTGGTGAGCTGATTTTCTTCTTCATTTTTAAGATATCTTCCTCTAAAGCAGAAGCATGGATTGTATTAGCACTACAGAACAGGTGTGAATTTCAAGAGGGTATTCCTTTAAAAAATACTTTTCTTCCGGATTAAGTAATACATGCACATGGTTCAGAAGTGTATACAGTGAGAAGTCCCATTCCTGTCTTCTTGTTAGCCAGTTTCATTCTCTGTAGGCAAAACTATTGTTTGTACCATGTTCTTCTTCCTGTATCATGCATTGACATTATTTGTATCAGTACATAAAAACTGCTCACATATGCAATAATTTACCAGTCTTTTGTTTATGACTGTTTTAGGTTATTTCTAATCTTTTTCTAGTGTAAACAGGACAGCAGTGACAGTTTTGCCATATGTCATTTTTACAGGATGAATTTCCAGAAGTAGAACTGTTAATTCAGAGAATGAACAGCCTTAAATGCAAACTATGTGTATTATTGGGAGCCTCTGTCTGTCTTAAGATTGAAGTATTTATTGAAGCAATTGCCTAGCTCCTGAAATCGTTTCATAATCTTCTGAGTTTTTTAATAATCTTGTTTTTCACAGTTTTCAGTAACGCAGTAGACATTGTGATGATCTGTTTTCTTTTTGGCAGATCGGCCAGTGACTTACCTGTATAATACTTTGCACTATTATGAAATGTACTTGAGAAACCGTGATCATCTCAAACGAAAACTTGTCCATGCAATCATTGGTTCACTTAAGGATAATCGACCACAGGGCTGGTGTCTAAGTGACACTTACCTGAAGTATGCTATGAATCCACGGGAGGACAATCCATGGGTCCCAGATGACTCCTACTATTGCAAATTAATTGGCAGACTAGTAGATAATATCCTTTTTATTGTGATTTTTCCAGACTCTCCAAAAATAAAAGTATTTTGATTTGTGAGAACAAATTTTTTTCTAACGTAATATTTTAATATATTCCAATTTGGGGTTTTTTGTTTGTTTGAGACTGGGTTTTGGTGTATTGCCCAGGCTGGCTTCAAATTCCTAGACTCAACAATTCTCCTGCCTTATCCCCCTCAGTAGCTGAGACTACAGGCTCATGCCACTGTGCCCAGCTTCCACTTATTTAAAAAATCAATTGATTTTTACCTCTGTAAGGGTTTTGAAATTTTACATTAGCACCATCCTGCCAGGTAGGATTGATATTTGCATTTAAAAACAGATTTTATGGAAATTGGTTTCAAATTAAAAAACTGTATTTCTAAATAAATGTACCATACATTGTAGTACATGTAACTGTTCAGGACTATAGTACATAGTCCTGTTTCTTTAAATAAATTCTTGAATACTTTTTAAAAGGTTAATATTAATACAAAATAATAAATTTAATTTTTAGTGAAAAAGCTATATTTGCTTTTTAATTTTTTCATTTTGATTTCATGTTTTCAGTTATCAGCACATTATATGTAGTATGTATATGTACCATACCACTAATAACTAGATGGAGAAATTTACATGAATGAGCTAAACAAAGGAATTTATTTCCTGAGGTAAAATAATTACTCATTACAAAATAATTTTTATGTACACTTGCCCTGTAACTATTAAAAGAAATAGGCTGATGAAACCCAGGGATACTTTAGTTAACATCTATAGCTACTGCAGTATCCCCGTTATAATAACCCATCTGTAAGACCAACCATTTATATGTTGTGTTTGATCAAATGATTGCTATCAATACATTTCAGTCATGTCAAATTTATTTGTGTTTGCCTCTAAATCTGACTATAGATGAATCACTTTTTGGCACCTCATAATCAGATAAACTGATAATCAAATGAGGTGCTTACATATAAAACATGTTAAAATTTATAAATCATTATACAGATGTGTCAGTCTCAACATAATTAAGTTGTTATTGCTTTAATTGTTTGCACCAATGGCCGGCAAATCTCCTGGTCCCTTCCCAAACTGTGATTGGCGATTCAATGAGTTTCCCAACCCTGCCGCCCATGCTCTGCATGTTACTTGTGTGGAGCTCATGGCCTTGGCAGTTTCAGGCAAAGATGTTGGAAATGCCCTTCTTAATGTCGTGTTGAAAAGGTATGTATACTATTTTATGCGATAAGATTGTGTTTGTTTGTAAAGAGAGTGATATTTTATTTAGAACTGTTAGACAAACCTGTTGCACCCCCTCCAACCCACCCCAAGGCTGATACACTTTGGCTAATATTTGGCTAATGCACTTTGGTTCCTGATCTCATCTTCGTGATGTAGGTATAATGGATATAGATGTATTGGAATGAGCCCTGGCCTGGTTTGTTTGCACTTCTACTCTTTATTTCATGTTTGTCCTTTAGGAATAATGTTAACTTGTTACTAAAAATTATTTTTCAGGATCTTCAGGAGCATGGAATATATCTTAGTGGGAGAATGTTTGCCTAGCATGTTTGAGCCACTGGGTTTGATCCCCAGCACTACAAAAATAAAAACAAAAACAAAAAGATTTTCTGAAAGATTAGCATAAAGTAGAGGATAAAGATTGAAAGAAGTATAAATAAAGTGAAATAGTGTTTTTAGCCAACAATTATTATTACAGGATACAAACCAAAAAAAAAAAAAGTAAGAAGAGTGAGATCCTTCTCTAAATAAAATACAAAATAGGGCTGGGATGTGGCTAAGTGGTTGAATGCCCTGAGTTCAATCCCTAGTTCCAAAAGAAAAAAAATCCTTAATGGCTTTTGTATATATCAAAATTTTATTCACTAAGAAAATCCATTGTTGATTTGGAGTGGATCAGTTGCCAATCCTCTGAATTGTATGTGTTCTCAAAATAAGATCTGTTTTCATTCATATAAAATGTTTTTGTAATTTCACATTTGTATTTTTTCATCCACTTGCAGTCAGCCCTTGGTACCAAGAGAGAACATTACAGCATGGATGAATGCAATTGGTTTGATCATCACTGCCCTACCAGTGAGTTAATAATAGTAGTTCATATTTAGTAATGAAACACAACTTGGATGATTTTATACAAGGACATGATGCAAATTAATAAAATGTTTCACATTTTTTAGTCTTTCACATTAAATCTGTAGTGACTCTATTTTTTTTCTTGCCTTTTGTGCATTAAATGAAAATGTGCCTTATCAGTTCTCTGCATCTTCAAGTACCACCTTAGCTATTCAACTTTAGTTTTTACATTAGGATCTGACCTGCTTTGGCCATTTAATATGTTAAGATATCTAGAGCCTATTGATTTAATCTAGAGCAATTGGTTTCACTGCCTACTAGTGAGTTAATAATAGTAATTTATATTTAGTAATGAAATACAGCGAGGATGAGTTTATACAAGGACATCATGCAAGTTAGTGTTTCATATTTTTCATATTAAAAAAGTCTATATTGTAGACTCCATTTTTTTCCTTGCCTTTTGTGCATCAAATGAAAATGTGCCTTAACAGATCTCTGCATATTCTAGTATCACCTTATCTATCCAATTTTAGTTTTTACATTAGGATCTGATCTGCTTTGGCCCTTTAATATGTTAGGTATGTAGAGCCTTTCTTCATGCAAATAATACTGATAGAAACAGACATGTTTTAAATCTTCTGATATGTTAGTGAATAAGATATTATGCCAAAACTCTTCCTTTCATAACCTTCTGTAAAAGTCCATTTATTCTTTGCTAGTTTAGGGCCTCCTTCTCTGACTTTTCCAGCTCCTATGAAGTCTTCCTTCTCTGACCTCCATTCGTATATAGTCTGCACCATGTAATTTTCTGTTGATTCTTTGAATAATGTTGTCTAACATGGTGCTCCATAAACTTGTTTGATTATGCAGCTTTGTGGGTCATTTTTTCTTCACACCACCTTCACAATATATGAATTTATTTCTGAATTTTATACATGTACTAGTGTTGTCTGTGTAGTAACTATTGGTAAATGTCTGGTACTAAATAAGCCAGGCAAACACATGTGTGGAACCTTCTGTCTGACAGACATTTCTCCCCCAGCTCGTTATTAACTTAATTTGACCAATTACAAAGCCACCCAACTGCATTTCAAAACCTGTGTTGCACAAACGTAGTGGGATAGGTAGAAAACCTTAAAGTATGAGAAATGAATAGTATTATAGGCTTTGGGGTCAAATGATGGGTAAGTGATATTTTTCATCCACTTTCCTCTGATTTTAAAGGAACCATATTGGATTGTCCTTCATGATCGAATTGTGAGTGTTATCAGCAGTCGCAGCTTGACATCAGAAACAGAGTGGGTTGGTTATCCATTCCGCCTATTTGACTTCACTGCTTGTCATCAGTCCTACTCTGAGATGAGCTGTAGCTACACATTAGCTCTAGCACATGCTGTATGGCACCATTCTAGCATTGGACAACTTTCACTCATTCCAAAGTAAGTATTATGATTTCTGAAACAAATTTGCCTTTTGTTTTTCTATTTTTTTAAAAATCATTTACAGATGAGACTAATTTGCAAAATAAGTGTTTTAACTATGTAGAATCCCTGGTTAATCAGAAAGCCTCCTTTATTTCATACTTATTTTTTAAAATTAACTTGTATGTGCAAGTAATAATTTGGTGTCTAGTTTTCCATTATGGTTTCAGGATGCTTAGTCAAATGCATGCTATTTCCACACTGTATCCCAACAGCTGCCTTTTGAACTAAAAGGCTAATATCAGCCTATTTTCTGATTATTTTTCTTGACCTTAAATTTGATATTAATTAGATTCAAATTTCTTGAGAACAGCATTTACATGAGATTAAGTGTTATTTTTTTCTTTCAAATAATTTACCTTCTGTTGGTCAATAGTTGTACTGATAAGAATAACTTTTAAATCTGAGGTAATTTATTTCAGTAAACAAAGTAAAAGCCAGTGAGAAATGTGAGATAAGTTAGAAATATTTTTATCAAATTTAGAAGGAACTTTGAAAGAATTACAAGTTTTGTAAATACCTTTACTACTTTTGTAAATACTGTATTAACAAAATTCAAAGATTTCCACTGATTTCATAAGAGATATTTATCTTCAAATTCTAGGTTTCTCACTGAAGTACTGCTTCCTATAGTGAAGACTGAATTCCAATTGCTTTATGTCTACCATCTTGTAGGACCATTTTTACAAAGATTTCAGCAGGAGAGAACTCGATGTATGATAGAGGTAAAATATAATCTGTTATAATTGTGAAGAATTTATTTAAGTTTCTTTACTAGTGCTTTCAAACTGCCAGTCACAACCACTAGTGGTAAAGTCAGTTTAGTAGGATCTAAAAGGAGTTTTAGAGGGGAACTCAGTGTGCCTATAATGAGTTTGGTGTGGGATGTGTTCACTTGGAGATGCAGGAAGAAATACTCCATCATCAAGGTTGAGAAGAAAGTTAAGGATATGGAAGGACATTTGAGAATTTATAGTGCAGAGAAATTAATTATATTGATGGAATTGGATGAAGTTACTCACTTCTATGTAGAGAAAGATGTAAAGAAAAAGAAAATAAGCCAGGAATAGAATCTTAAAACCAAGAAATGCTAAATAGAACTAAGAAGATAGAATCTTGGAATGCAGTTATCCCAGAAATTAAAGAGATGGTATCTAGAAAGTGAATCTTACTTTTAAGAGAAATGACTTAAATTGTGCAGAGAAATTTTAGTTAAGGAGTATACTGTTTCACTGTGGATTTCATTGTAAATTCAGGCTGCATCATATTTCCTATATGCATAGAGGTAGGTACATGACTGTGACAGTTCCTCACCAAACATGCCATCCCACTTAATGGTTTTGTAATGGAGTTCAATTGTATCATGTTGGGCTATTTAACTACTTTGGCCATTTAAATAATTTCACATTATTTGTTGACTAGATTGGTGTGGCATTTTATGACATGCTGCTAAATGTAGACCAGTGTAGCACCCATTTAAATTACATGGATCCCATCTGTGACTTCCTGTATCATATGAAATATATGTTTACTGGTGACAGCGTGAAAGAACAAGTAAGTTAAATTTATGTATTTTTGAATGTTTGTCTTAGAAAACTTAAACAGGTGATGAATGTTTTTGTTTGTGTTTTTTTTTTTTTAAAGGGTGAAGCCTTAATATAAGACCTTTTAAGATTACAGGGTGTATTATTCTAGATATGGTAGTAAATACATGTAAAAAAAAAAAAAAGAAAATACATGTTTTCTCATGCTCTTACTTTTTCTCCTTGATATCGGCAATAGAATATCTGAAATGGGGATTAATAATAATCACGTTAGGGAGAAACAGTGTAGTATGACACAAACAGACCAGAGAGGTGTTGTGTTCTGAGTAAAAGGAGGGTCCTACTTTCCCCCAATGATCAGGGCACACCATGGGGATATTGAACAGATTGCTGCATGACTAGAAAACTGAAGCCAGGATGGTCAAGAGACTAACTCATGAGGCATATTCAAGGAATGTGGGAATATATACCCTAAAGAAAAAAATCCTAGGAAATTGTTCATGTCCACACTATTTGGTGTGGACATGTATCCTAATACTTATGGAATAAGTATTAGGTTTGTTCTGCATGACAAAAAAGAGCATAAGAGTTCTGGTGAAGTTAATAAGATGTGCTCTTCAACTCAACATATGAAGAGGTACATCTGATGTGGCTACAAGTCAAAAAGACCTCCTTGGATCACAACCAACTTTCCTAGTGTGACAAATGGAAACTGGGCTGTTTTAGAAGGGAGGAGGTGGGGCTGATAGGTAAAGTTCATATACCTTCCCAATACTTGAATGTTAATGTCTTACTCTAATGGACAGGAAGGAAAATTGTGGCATAACCATGTGAATTCAAGTCTAATGAGTTCTTTGCTAGGAGCTGAGTTTGGGAAAACGTTGAGTCCTTTATACCTCAGCAAGAATGTCAAAAAGAATTCACATGTCTCTAATGAAAGAAAGAGAACATGTGTCTCTGTGCCTACTTTTGTTGAAACACAGAACATGAAAAGAATCAATAAAGTAATGCTCTTTTAAAAATGAATAAACAAATAAAGTATTCTTTATATTTGAACCTAAGAGATTTTGACACATGGAATACAAAAAAAGAAAAATTACCAGCAGACTCGTCTTTCCCCTAAAGTCAAGGAATATTTGAGTAAAGCTAAGAAAGCAGTGAGTGAAACTACTTAATATATTTATTTCTTAAATATTTTACGTAAAAGTAGAACTAATTTTTTTAGTGTGAATTTTAAGTAAAAATCAAAATTAGCTTTATTTATAAAGTTGCATATGTGAATATTTAAAGAACTTTAAAATATAATTAAGCTTAATGCTTCTATGAAGATGGCATTTTAAAAGGATGATCAAATTGTTGCATGTATAAAATTTCTATTATAAACTGTGCTAGCTTTTGGTAGTGGGATGACTGTCTAGTTAGATAAGTAGAAAAATGTTTTTATAAATATATACATCTGTTTTTGTTGAAATACACACAGCACATACTGAAACTTCTGGTCCAACCCCTTCAATAGTTTATTGCTTCAGAATGTATGTAAATCATTTTTAAATGGAAAGTTGAAGTCTCTTGATTCAAGTATTTTTTATACCTTTGTTTATTTATTCATTTATTTATTTTCATGTGGTGTTAAGGATCGAATGCAGGGCCTCGCACGTGCTAGGCGAGCGCTCAACCCACAGAGCCACAACCCCAGCCCCTCAAGTATTTTTTAATGTGTTTTTATTTCTTAGGTAGAGAAGATTATCTGTAATTTAAAACCAGCTTTAAAACTTCGTCTTCGATTCATCACACATATTAGCAAGATGGAACCAGCTGCAGTGCCTCCACAAGCTATAAATAGTGGATCTCCAGCACCTCAGTCTAATCAGGTGCCAGCATCCTTACCAGTAACTCAGTGAAGTTAGAGTTACTGTAGTGAGAATGTAAATATACCTGTCTTAGAAAGTGGACTCAAGTTTATTAAATCTGAATGTGATCATGTTAAAGTGATGTGGTAGAAGAAGCAGCAGAGATATTCAGATTGTTTTCTTTTGATTCAAATGGTGAATCTCCTCACACCTTAATTCCCATCTCCCTGTCTATATTTTTGTCTCTAAGAGATCAAGTAAGCTACATATTGTTCATATTCATAGCAATTAAGAGCACCCTAGGAACATAGATGTATACTGTGATCAAATGACTTTTCCTTTGTATTCTCAGTCTTTCCTATTTTAGCCATTGTTTTTATTTTTATTTTTATGTTTTATTATTGTATAGTCAGTCTTAAAGTACTTTGCTTTAAAGACAGAACACATGTAAAATAACCATTACAAATCCTTTTATACATAAATCTTCTTTTGTGATTCTTCAGGATAATAGAGATTTTTATCAAATAAAGGACTCTGGGTTTCATTGCATTGCAGAAGCAAACAAAGTTTCGTATTTTTTTTTAAAGACTTGAAATTTTTATTGTAAATTTCCAAGTAAATAGTCTAATGTTTCTATTGAGATAGATGGGCAGTTTTTGCCTTTGCTTTGAACTTACCAGATGAAATGAGTTGGAAGCCATGTAAGAAAATATCATCTGAAAATGCATACATTTAAATAAAATCATGCTTAAATGGCTGATTCCCGAATCTCTGTCTATAAAAATCAGTTGCTTTTGCATGTTGATATCCTCACCTGGCAGATGATGTGAATTTTGGAATTTTCATAATTCCAAATTTTTTAAATATTTGTATTTTTAAATGTACATTTTGGTTCTTTAGGGTTTATTAGATTTCTGAAAGACATTGTTAATTTTGGGGGAAATGGCATTGTGAAAAACTTGAAAACTAATAAAGACTGTTGGATGAATACACCATATGATTTCTTTAGTTACCTAAATTTGAATGAATGTCTTTCCAGGCTTTGTACTGCCAGGGAACTGAGCTACTCCATGAGGTGTTCTACCCTAGTTTATGACTAAAATTGTCCTAGGAATTAAGAGTTACTGGTTTAAAAAAAGAATTAGTGAATTGAACCAGCTGTAATTCTAATTCTTATTTCCAAATACATTTCTCTTAGATTTTCATTTTTTTCATAGTTCATATCATTATAATCACTATATCTTTATTTGCCATACAAGTTCAGCTTAAAATTTAGATAATGGCATAACTAAGGTTTACAGACTTCATATTCAAGTTCCAGAAATTTTATGCTTTATATGATTCCAAATATTAATTTTAACATAGTCTTAATAAATTCTTGTTGACTTGGGATTATATTGCTTTGCTTTGCTTTGAAATCATTGATTGAGAATAGTTGTGACTCTGGTATTATACAATAGAATAGAAGAAGTGAAAATCAGACTTTCTCACAGACATGTCCATTCCAATTTGTTTATTAAAAATTCATATTTCTCTCATTGGCAAGTAGGAATATGATTTTCCTTGAATAGACTTTTAGAGTTGCACATCAGAGACATCAATAGAAAGTAGAAACTTTATTTAGCTGAGGGAAGAAAATGCCTTTATTTTCATTATTTCCTAAAAAGTTCATTTTCTTTCTTTCTTCTTTCTTTCTTTTCTTTTTTTTTTCTTTTCTCTTTTCTTTCTACTTTAAAGCACCTTTGTCCAATAGAACTTTCAACAGTAAAGAAATGTTTGTTCCTATGCTATCCAGTGTAGAAGTTAATATCTATATGTGGCCGTTGAACATTTGAGAGGCATGTGGTGGTGAGAGAGGCTTGTGGGAAGCCGGTGGTGGCAGCTGGGCTCTGAGGGTTTTTCCTGAGGAGCTGTTTTGTTTGGCGTGTGTGGTCCTAAAAATAAAGTTCGTTTCTTTTGACAAGTGGCTCCTGAATTTGCCGCAATCTGGCACCACCGGCTTCCCACAAGCCTCTCTCTCAACCACAAGCCTCTCCACCTCCCATAATCCTCTTGCTCTTGAGGCCGATTGGCTGGGTTGCATGGGCGGAGCCAAAAAAGTCCCCCAATGAGCAGCTCCATGGTCTGAAAGGGCAGGGAAACAGCCCAATGAGCATCACCGCAGAGGAGCCAATCAGCTAGATGTTGCTGGGGTGCTGTGAGCCAATCATCAGCTGGCAGTCTGAAAGTTTGCTGGGGCCCCTTCAGCTATGGCTCTCGACATCTCCCCCTCTCTGTTTAAACAACAAGCATGTGGCTTAGGGACTGTGCCTGCCTTAGGTTGTCCAATAGTACATATGGTCCTTACCCGTTATCGGATGAGCTGACCTCAAGGCGTCAGCCTCCTGTCTTAGGTTGGTACCATTGTAATTGGATCTTACCCGTCACTGACTACCAGTCCAGTATACAGCCACACCTGTGGAGAGGTCTTTGTACCAGCGGGGGGGTGAGGTTCTTTGCCTCACCTCTGTTGGCCCCCAAATTTTAGCTGAACGATCATGACAAGCAGAAGGGAGGAAGATACACCAAGCCAATTGACGGCTCCTTTTTGAAAAATTGTACCACCGATGACATCATCAGCAAAAATACCCCAACACTACCACAAGTCGCTGCACCAACAGATAGTTCACAATGCATACAGGTGAGTTCACAATGCGTACAAGTGATTCATAGTCCAGGCAAATTCTGCAAGCAGTTCAGTGATGGCTATTGCAGAAGCTGTAGATTGGTTTTATCTTTGTCTTCACCAGCACTGGGATGAATATAGGAATTCTGGCAATAATGGCTAAAGAAAAAATTATGTAACATTCCAGAAGGCACTAAAAGAAAACAATTTTCTTAACAATTTACATTATCTTCAAGAGAATTATTAAATATAATGAAAAGGAAAGGTGAAAGTAAACAAACAGATCTGTTAACCTCCTTTTTTGTTCACATGTTAAAACAATCCTCAACAGTTGTTTACCCAATTTAAATTAAACCATTTAAATCACGTGAATAAAAAAAATATTTGGATCCATTTTTTCATGAGCGCTCATCATATATATGATATGTGGACATATGTACATTCAAACATATAACACAAAACACAAGTGTGCACACATAATATAATACATACAACACATAACATAATAGTAAAGGCCTTATAACTTTTTACAGGCGAAATCTCCATTGCAATGTTTAAAAACTCTATAGTCAAAAAATAGAACTGATCAGCAAAACATTAACCTAGGTCTGTATGAGCTCAAAAAACAAAATAGAACTTCATGATGTGGGAAAGTGCAATAATAAAATAGATATTGAAAAAAGCATCCTGGTTCTGTCGCAGATGTAAGGATAGCCAAACTGGAGTTTTGGATATCAGCTGTTATGGATTTGAGCCAAATCATCTTCTTTTTGGTCTGTAGAAATCGCTTTAGTTAATCTCTCTGGAATCCAAATTGGCTGCTGTTCTCCCTGTGGAAACACACAAACAGACCCCCGACTCCAGACAATTACTGAGTCAGTACCTTTCCATTGTCCTGTTAGAATATCCTTCCAAAGTACCTTGGGCTTATGCACATTTTTTGGACACATATGCCTTTCCGCAGCACTAAGTCCTGATGAATCCAAATTTAAAAAGTTTAGAGTAAAAAGGGTTATTTTAAGTTTATCTTTGGGGAATATATACCCCTTCCCAATTCCTTCTTTTTGCTTTAATAAGTACATTTTAATAGTTTGATGAGCTCTTTCAACTATGCCTTGTCCCTGTGGATTGTATGGGATTCCTGTTATATGAGCAATGCCAGATGATGAGCAAAATTGTTTAAAAGAGGTAGAAGTATAGCCAGGGCCATTATCTGTTTTTAACTGTTTTGGAACACCCACAGTGGCAAAATTTTGTAAGCAATGAGCTATAATATCTTTAGTTTTTTTCTCCGGCATGAAGGGAGCCCAACAAAAATCCAGAAGAAGTATCAACTGTAACATGCAGATATTTTAATTTTCCAAATTCTGGCAAGTATGTGACGTCCATCTGCCAAATATGGTTAGGTACCAGTCCTCTAGGATTGACTCCAAGATTAACTTGTGGTAAAAACATCACACAATTTTGATATTGTTTTATTATTTGTCTAGCTTGTTCCTTAGTTATTTTAAAATGCTTTTTTAAAGTATTTGCATTGACATGGAAGGATTTATGAAAATTTGTAGCTTCTTCTAGCGTAGAAAAAATATGTATGTCATGTGTAGTTTTATCTGCTAAATCATTGCCCAAACTAAGGGCTCCAGGCAATCCTGTATGTGCCCTGATATGTCCTATAAAGAATGGATCTTTTCTGTCCCAGATTAGACTTTGAATAGTGGAAAACAAAGAGAAAATAGTAGAGGAAGGGGAAATCCTACCAGCATCTTCAAGGGATACTATAGCATTAACTATATACTGACTATCGGAAAATAAATTAAATACAGAATCTTTAAACATCACAAAAGCTTGTAATACTGCATTAAGCTCTACCTTTTGACCTGATTGTTTGGGTACTAAAAATGTAAAAGTTTGATCAGGGGTAACTACTGCTGCTGTACCATTATTTAACCCATCAGTGAATATATCTGGAGAATTCATGATAGGTGTTTTTCTTGTCATTTTTGGAAAAACTACAGGATGCGAAGACCAAAAAGACAACAAAGGATTAGATGGTGAGTGGTTATCAAATGAAACATTAGATTTGCACATGATTATTGCCCAAGTATTTAACTCATTAGCTAACTCATCAATTTGATCCATTGTATATGTAGTAATAATTTTATTGGGAGAAATTCCAAACACTCCCTTTGCTGCTTTTATTCCTTTGAATATTAATTGTCCTACAGCCTCAGGATACCTAGTAAGAATAGTGTTAGAAGAATAAGATAAATGTATCCATAATAATGGACCTTCTTGCCAAAATACTCCTGTAGGAATATTTTTTGTTGGTAGTACAATAAATAATAAAGGCAAACTTATATCAATTCTATCCAAATGCATATTTTCCATATATGTTTCAATGATTTGTAATGTCTTTCTTGCTTCAGGCGTTAATATGCGGGGTGAATTTGGATCTGATGCACCTTTTAGGATATCAAATAAAGGTCCCAACTCTCCTGTTGGTATGCCTAGATAAGGCCTTATCCAATTTATGTCTCCTAATAACTTTTGAAAGTCATTAAGTGATTTGAGTTGATCTACTCGTATTTGAATTTTTGGTGGATGGACCATGGTCAAGGATAATAGAACTCCTAAATAATTAATTGGAAAATTTAATTGTACTTTATCTATTGCTATCTCTAGATTATAATTTTTTAATAAATTTGTAAGTGTGACATAACATTCTAGCAATGTGTTTTTATCTTTGTGTGCCAATAATACATCGTCCATATAGTGAAATATTTGTAGTTCAGGATTTTGATTTCTAAGTGGCTGGATTGCTTTGTTAACATAAATTTGACACATAGTTGGGCTGTTAGCCATCCCTTGAGGGAGTACTTTCCATTCATATCTCTGATCAGGACCTTCATGATTCAGCGCAGGGATAGTAAATGCAAAACGTGCACTATCAGGATGAATTGGAATTGGAAAAAAAAAAAAACAATCTTTAATATCTATAACTAAAACATACCAGGTTTTTGGCAAAGCAGACAACTGGGGAATCCCCGATTGAGCAGATCCCATAATAATCATCTCATTATTAATGGCTCTTAAATCTTGCAATAATCTCCATTTACCAGATTTCTTTTTGATGACAAAAATGGGAGTATTATGGGGAGATACGGAAGGTTGTATATGTCCCTCCGCTAATTGTTGTTTGACCAGGTCATGGGCTGCTTGTATCTTTTCTTTAGTCAGGGGCCACTGAGGAACCCATACTGGACTTTCTGATTTCCAAGTAATTTTTATTGTCTCAGTGACCCCTCCTGAAAACCCAATCCATGTCTATCT